CCAGCTAGGAAGAGATCTGTTTCTTAGGGTTAGTTACACCGTGAATTTCAAAATACCAACTTCATCATTGACCATGAGAAACAGAAGTTTAAAGCAGACAGGCATGCAGGTCAGCATACTCTCTTTCTCTTAAGCTATGTGGATACTTTACACTTCAGAAGTTTGTTTTCTTGTCATGAGTTCAGCACAAGAGAAAGCCAAATGATATGGGACTGCTGTCACTCAAGCAAAGTCTTGATCTGTCCATAAACCCTATGGTGATATACAAATTGTAAAACAAGATAATAGTATTTCTGAGCAGGAAGCTTCTGGAAGCAGCCCTGAAAGCTCATTATTATAGAAATATATCACAGATCCCTAATCTAAACTCCCTTTCTGAGGGTCCTGTTCTTTTCTTAGGTATGCCACCCAGTCAGCTAAGCTCTTGTCACAATGTGCGCTAGAAGCTATGCTGTCTTTTTAAAGAGTCTTAAATATCTGTTCTTTGATTAATTTCATTTTGATGTTATACTTACAATTTCCTTTAGCATCCAAGGATACATAGATTTTACTTTATATGTGCCTACAAAAACAAAATGACAACATCACTCACTAATTACTAATAATTTTAATAAAAACATTTTTCTTAATTGATCTTTTATTTAAAGATGAAGTTTTTGCATCAAAAGTAACAGGTACACAAAAGCATTAAATAATCACCCTGAAATAATGAGGAAACAGGGTCTTCTGCATTCATTTCATTCTAATGTTTAGTGCTTATTTTTATCCTGCTAACCCCCCACCAAAAAAAAAAAAACCCTTCTACTTAGCCTCCCTATAAAATGGACAAGAGGTATCTAATGCCATGATTGTTATGTGAGAAAACTTTTCATATTTTGAATGTTGATGCTTTTAGAATTATGTTTACTGTTTACCAGCTAATGGGATATCATGAAAGCAATCACATTTACTCATCTGAGTGCCTCTTAAATAAACATAAAAAAAGAACAAGAATATTCACTTGTTTATATTTCTCAACTTTTATTTTCTGGTGTATTATTGCAGAAGATGAAGTCTATCATCAAAATTATTTCTGGAATCAAAGCTATTTGAATTCAAATCTCATTTCTGCCACTTACTAGCTGTGTGAGTTTAGTGAAAATATTTAATTTCTCTAACTCATGGTTTCCTTATCTGTAAATAGTAGTTAATATCCTCTCCTCCACTGAGTTATTTGTGTTAAATGAAATAATTGAACAGAAATAATTAAACATAGTGAATGGCCTCAATAAATGCTCAATAAATAATAGCTGTGTGTGTTAAACAGGATGCATCCTATTATCCCCAGAGATATCTGGATACCTGCTGATTCTGATTTTAATCTTTTAGCACCGAGTTCAGAAATTTATCTCAATCAGGCTGTGTTCATTTGGGGAGGCTGAGTGAAGTACAAAACATTTATTCTTCATTGAATGCACTGTATTGAACAATCGTATTATGTATTCTAGAACCCTGTGCACCTGCCCATTGAAGTGCACATATCCAGGTTAGGCAACATACAGGGCTGTCTCAATCTTATGCTGGGTTGCAGGGAGACATGTTATTTTGTTTCCAGAAGGTCAATGTGACTCTCACTCTCTCAGGATTTGTGACTTTGGATGCTTGCTCCTTATTGTCTTAAAGAAGGTCACTATACATTTTTTCTGTGTATCATAACCGTGTGATCTTTTCTCCAAATGCTTTACATCAGCGGTCCCCAACCTTTTTGGCAACAGGGCCTGGGTTTTCTACAGAGCAGGGCGGGGCGGGGGCACTTGGCTCAGGAGAATTCTCCTGGCTGGGGTCCTAACAGGGCACGGACTGGTGTCAGTCCGCGGCCCAGTGGTTGGGGACTCCTGCTTTAGATGTCTGTGGCTGTCCGTTTGTACCTGCCATTGAGATTAGTCAATATAGTGGTCGGGTCACACTCTATGCTGAGTAACCACTTTATTGAATAGTGGGTTCCTATGAGGTGAAGCAGGCCGCAGCTTTCCTTTTCTGCCTAGGTACCCTTTAGGCCTGCTTTGCTGGCTCTCTGTTTGCCTGTCCTCAATAGGAACTTGAGGTCCTAGAGAAGTAGTAGTCACTGGGTTTTAGAATAATCTAATTTTTAGGAGTCAATTGGTCCAGTCTAATATAAATAAAAATATGTTTTGTATCCAATTCAAAGCTTCTTGTTTTTCCCTATACCCATCCCCCTACATTTGATAACAACATTCTCCTCTAAATGAGCCATGTTGAAAGTCTCATTTCATGTCTCCCACCTACATCTAATTAGCTATATTTACCTGTAAAATAAGCTGGGGTATATAGTTGTTTATCTGGCAAGTGTGTCGCCTTGCCCAAAATTTAGATATTTTTAAGGAGAAAGGAAAAAAATGAAAATTGGTGGCAAACCCTCATTAATTTTATTTGACATTTACAAGTTTCTTTTGCTCTTATGTTCATACACTATCATTATCAGGCCATGAAAGCAACTTTTTTCATGTGCTATTTCCCACACTCACCAAAAGGAAGGACATAATTTCAAAATAAATGACCACGTGTTAAATTAAATATATTTGTCTTCATGGAAAACTTTTTAGAGTGCTTTCATTTTTCTCATTTCTTGGGTAATAGATGAAAACTTTACCAGGAAACTAACCATTACTGTCGTCATCTGTTGTTAGAAACTTTTATTTTAGTTTAGGCTTTCCCCCAATCTCTTTTTTTGAAAAATTTCAAAGCCACAAAGTAATGGAAAGAATACAGTAATGAATACCCATATGCTTTGCTTGTAAGTCACCAACTGTTAACATTTTGTCACACTTTCATTATTGATCTCTCTATAAATTTTGTTGTCTTTGGGGCTGTTGAAAATTTAGTAAGATTTTTAAATAGGAAGGGCACTGTTTAAATCTTTAAAGTCAATAGACCCTTTCTGAGAATAAATTCAAGACAGAGGGCAACTAGTTATACATAGTCTCTAAAAGGTAACTTCTCTCTTGGATATTTTATAAGATCAGACCATACATATTACAGATCTCTTTAAATAGATGGATGATTCCTACTTCCTTTATGTGTTAGAGTCTGTTGACAGATACTTCTCAAAGTATTTTAAGATTAAGATTAAAGTATCTTAATCTGAGCATAGCACTGAAGAGAGCTTATTTAGATATTTTAATGCAAATTGAAATCAGAAATTGTTCACAGTGCTATTGCATTTCAGTAATTCAGTTTGATCATGAAATTAACAGTGTCATCATACAGCCTGTAAATCAGCAAAAGATGGTGGTTCTTAACAGAATTCTCATAATATAAAAAAGAAAGGAGGAAGCAAAGGGACTTGCCCTAGAATTTAGAAACTGAATCATTTGCTTCATCATGGAAAGAATACACAAAGAATTGATATATGGGTTCAGGTCCCATAATGTCCAAGAGGAACACTTGAAACATCCTTTGGAATAGGATGTGTTACTCTCACTAGGTCAGGAAGATTAAATTTCAGTGCTCCATAGCTTTGCCTGGCTGGAGAGGCTTTAGGCATAAATAGGCATGAAGATTATGGTATTACTATTTTACTGTCAAGTTTTCAATTGAATAAGCAAACAATCGGGCTTATAGAAACTGTCTTTACTGGAGTTTTATTTCTGTAGAACATGAGGATGTAAAGTATGTTTTATTTCTTTTTGCTAATAGGACAAACGAAGTCATCTGAGAAAGGTCTTTGAGGTCCAATTTTTAACTTAGTGCATTTAGAGACATATGATAGATTGTAATACTGTTCATCAAATATTCAGGTTTCCATTTCTGCAGTGCTCCACTTTGTGGGATTTTTAGGGTCACCACAGCGTACTTTAAACTACTCTAAAATGAAGGAATCTTGGAAGGACATAATTCAGTCCAAAGCAAGTGACAATGCCCAAGCTCAATGCAAGAGAAAGTGCTACGTTAAGGCGAGTTGTGAGATGTGAAGTGTCAGACGAGGGCCACTGTGTTTTTGATCAAGGCAACGTCGTGGTGAGTATTGTTTTAGGAGAACAAATCTGGTAGTTGCTTATGGATGAATTTTATTGCAGAAAAAAAGATCTCATTTGTAGGAGTACTGCAACATTCCCTGATGTGAAAAATAAAGACCCACATATAGCAGCACCTAAGGCTTTCCTGATCCTTCCTCCAGAGGGGATCTCTTCTTTAAAACCACATTTTCCTTATGTTTAAGGGTTGCTCATAGAACTCTTAAATTTCACCTTATATTGTATACTTGTTTTCGTACTTCTTATTCCTTACTTTTGCAGTTCTTGTAGTAGGTACCAGTCAGTGGGTTTGGAGCGCTGCAAAGTCAGGAGACTTCGGTCCGTGTGGGAACCCCGAGCCTGGCCCCAGGTTCCGTACTCTTATCAAGCAGAAAATTACGACACTATGTGTAGACTTGACTACGTCCTTTGATGTACAATCAGGGGGCTTGTCCAGTTCTTTTTGCTCAGCACCACGAACAGGGCCAGCCACCACACCCACGAAAGGACGCTCTTCTGAATTTTCTCGGTGGCTGCAGCTTTGGGGTCCGCATGCCTCTAGAGCATGGAAGTGGTGCTCACGTCGCTGAACGGATGTGTGAATTATTATCGATCAACTTCCGAACTGTTAGGAAGCAGACATACTCCTCGTTCTTCAACTGGTGGCAGCAAACGAAAGATTAAAATCGCCTCCTATCCTGTAGGAGAGGTTTGAAATTACCAATAGGGATCTTCCAACTCCGGTATTCCGCGCATCCTTTTTGGCGGTATGCAAGGATTAAGCATGAATTGAGATAAAACAGCGTTGGAGTACAGATTATGTCAGCGTAGTTGCCCAAATAGAGCTGAAACAATAAATTGAGCTTTGTTTTAACTCTGGGAGGATATCCCAAGAGAATAGGCGGGGCTCTAACAGCATCTAGTCCCATGGGGCTTTGCGTGAACGCCGGCCCCACCCCCATCCCAGGATCCCCTGCGCGGCGGGCTCGCTCTCGGTGCGCTACGTGCGCGTGGAACGTGCTTCTGCGTGGTGGTTCCGCTTACCGAATTCGGTCTTCTCTTCGCGGCCGTTGGGGTTTGAGGTTCCCGCCAGGTCCCGGCTGGGCGGGAGTGATGGTTCCCGGCCCACCACGGCTTTGAGGCGAGAGGAGCGTCCCAGACCCTTTTCCGCTTGCTTACGGCGCTGACTCCGGGCAACCATGTCTACCGCGTTCTCCTTCGGGACGGGAACGCTGGGCTCCACCACCGTGGCCGCTGGCGGGACCGGCACGGGCGGCGGTTTCTCCTTTGGGACAGGGGCATCTAGGTAACGTACTTCCTCGCCTTCCCGGCCCCGGTCCTCCTCGCGAGGCTCCCGTGGGGTATTCCTGCCCATCTTTATTCCAGCTGGCTTTTTTCCTGGTCGGCCTGGAGAAAAATAATTGCCCCGCGCCAATTTCGTAGATTTCCCTCTCGCTGCCCTTCCCGGACTCTGCAGGTGGCCTACTTCAGAGGAAGCTGGATGGTCCCTATGTTGTGAGGGCCCCAGAATCCTACTCGTTCGGACGTTGTTCCCTACGGATTGAGGGAAAACGTTCCCTATGGCTGAGTGAAAGGGCCTGGGATTTCACACCCGAGCCCTACTATTTGTCAGTCTTAGGCACAGACTTAGACTGAATTCACAGAATGAATTTTGAACTAATGAATGAAATACAGGTTATTGTGTTGTTTGGAAAAAGAAAATAGAAAAACTTAGGGTCAAATAAAAATTTCTCTCTGATAATGCAGATTTCATTATAGATATGCGGTTTTAGACATTACAAAGCTTTAATAAGTCGTGCTTAACCAGCTTTCAAGACTGTGACTCAAGCTGCCTTTTTTTTCCCCCTTTTACAGCATTTATTGCAGAAATATCTTAAGCATTGTCTGTATTCAGAAAAGTGGGGAGGACCACAGTCTACACAGTCAAGTCAGAAATTTGGGAGTTTTCCTTAATACCTCCTTTTCTCTCTACACACTGAATTAGCAAGACCTGATAATTTTAATTATTTTCTATTTGCTTTATTTTCAGTGCCACCACCCTGTTGCAAGCTCTTGTCATTTGGGGAACAAATATTTATTGGACATATGCCTATGTAGTAGGCTGTGTTTTAGGTGGTAAGGTAAATAAGAGTCTTGCTTTCATGAAGACATCTTACGAAAAGACTTAAGATTTGTGCCAGGTTTCAGCCTTTGTCCTGTTAAACGAGAACTGCTCCCGTCATCTCCTACTAATTAGTTCAGTGAAATCCCAAATGCTATCTTAAAAATCTACTACTATGTCAATCTTTTTTACTATACTGTAGTCCTTCAGTGATTTTTCCACTATCATTGGAATGAAGTAAAAATGAATTTTGCTATGGTCTGAAAGATGCAAATAATCAAGACCTCTTCAACAGGTCATTCTGAGCCCATCTTTTCCTCATTTTAGTTTGCTCCAACTTAATGATCCAAACCCCCAAAATAACAACAACAACAACAACAACAAAAAACCCCAAACTGTAAAGAACCATTTATATTGTCATCCAGTTCAGGAACACAAGTAACTGCAAGTTTTTAAGAAAAATACCCTTACTTTATCTGATACACTTTGATATTTTCTATTCTGTTGCATTTCATTTTTAAAAAGTGCTTGTGGTGATCTACTAAATTGATTTCAGACCTTCGAATGGGTCTTGATCTTAGTTTGAAAAATGCAGTTCTAGTAACTTGGGCCTTTTCTCAGTTTCTCAGGTGGGCTTGGCCAAACCCTTTCCCCCTTTAGGGCAGTTCCCTCTGTTTGGAATTCCCTTACTACCTCCTACCCTTTGTACCTCCTACCCTTAGAGAAAGTTAATGCTTACTTTGGAGACTCAAAAGGTTACTTCCCCAGAGAGTCCTTTTCTGACCTATCAGTCCAGAAGAGGTGTACATCCTCATAGTACCCTGTACCACATAGCATGCATTACAGTTGTAACAGTTCATTGTATGTTTTTGTTGGCTTGTTTATGGTCTGTTCCAAGCAGTAGAATGTATGTTCCATGAGGGTGGAGACCTTTTAATACTGTTTTTCCAGGAGACACAGTGGAGCTCAGTATATATTTGTTGAGTGAATGAATAATTAACCTTTCACTGCTTGTAAAGGCTTGGATAAATTGACAAAGGGAGAGACAGTCTAACATCTCTCTGTTGGAATGCTGATTTAGAGGCCTGACTGCCCCTACAGCCATTTGGTAATTTGGCTTTCCAAGCCTCAATTCCAGCATTTGGAAAAGGGTTATAAAATCTTTACCTCAGAGAGTAATTGAATGAGATAAAACATGTAGAGAATTTAACATCATATCTGGCACTTGCTAATTAAGTCCACCATAAGGCAAGCTGGGGAAGTTAAAATATTCCTGATCTGCTAGAGTCAACTTGGCTTTTCTACCACACCTCCTGTTGGTAGGAGGGATTAAGGTCAGGTCTGGGGCAGCTTTTTGTTTTTCTTAGAGAAAGTAAATTTCTCTGCCTCAGAGACATTTCTCCTGCTTCTCTGATAGAGTGATATGACTTCACTTTAATGTATTTCTTTGGTAATGTTAACTTTAGTTACGAAGCATTTCTTTGTGTCTCAGTCAAGAAATTTTAAATGACCGGAACTAGCATAAAGGACACATGGACAACTAAAGGGGAGGGAGGTGGGGGGCATGGGGGGTGGGCCGGGAAGGGAGTAAAAGAAAGAATACTGTAGTTGAAAAATAATTTTAAAAATAAATTAATTAATTAAAAAAGAGAAATTTTAAATGTTTTACTGGTGTAAAATTATACACTGTACATCTTTTGCATATTTATAAGATAGCAGTAAAAAATGGGATCGCTAGCTCTGACCAGTGTGGCTCAGTGGAGGGAGCACTGGCTGGCCAACCAAAAGGTTGCCAGTTAACTCCCAGGCAGGGATCATGCCTGGGTCGCGGGCTGGGTCCTCATTTTGGGGTGTGTAAGAGGCATCTCCCTTCCTTCCCATCTCTCTAAATAAAATCTTTTTTAAAAATGAGATCACTAATTTTGGAGGAAGGGAAGCATAATAATCATGTTCTTTTTTTCTTTAAACTTTTTTATTGATTATGCCATTACATTTGTTCTATTCCCCCCGCCATTCCCCTCCACCCTGCATACCCCTCCCCCACCACTTCCCCCTTTAGTTCATGAACACGTGTCTCAAATTCTTTAGATTCTGTATTTCCCCTCTATTCTTACCCTCCCCCCTATCTATTTTCTATCTACTGTCTATGCTACTTATTTTCTGTACCTTCTCCCCCCTTCTCCTCCTCCCACTCCCCTGTTGCTAACCCTCCATGTGATCTTCATTTCTATGGTTCCGCTCCTGATCTAGCTGTCCTCTTAGTTTGCTTTTGTTTTAGGTGTGGTTGTTACTAACTGTGAGTTTGCTGTCCTTTCACTGTTCATCTTTTTTATCTTCTTTTTCTTAGGTAAGTCCCTCTAACATTTCATATAATAAGGGCTTGGTGATGATGAACTCCTTGAATTTGGTCTTATCTGAGAAGCACTTTATCTGTCCTTCCATTCTAAATGAAAACGTTGCTGGGTAGAGCAATCTTGGTTGTAGGTCTTTGGTTTTCATGACTTGGAATACCTCTTTCCAGCCCCTTCTTGCCTGTAAGGTCTCTTTTGAGAAATCCGCTGACAGTCTGATGGGAACTCCTTTGTAGGTGACTGTTCCCTTATCTCTTGCTGCTTCTAGGATTCTCTCCTTCATTTTGATCTTGGCTAATGTAATGATGATGTGTCTTGGTGTGTTCCTTCTTGGGTCCAACTTCTTTGGGACTCTCTGAGCTTCCTGGATTTCCTGGAAGTCTATTTCCCTCTGCCAGAATGGGGAAGTTCTCTGTTATTATTTGTTCAAATAAGGTTTCCACTCGTGACTCTTCCCCTTCTGGTAGCCCTATAATTCGAATGTTGGAACGTTTAAAGATGTCCTGGAGGTTCCTAAGCTTCTCCTCATTTTTCTGAATTCTTATTTCTTCATTCTTTTCTGTTTGATCATTTTTTTCTTCCTTCTGGTCCACTCCCTTGATTTGAGTCCCAATCTCCTTTCCATTACTATTGGTTTCCTTTGTATTACCATTCATTTCAATTAGTTTAGCTTCCATATGTTTCTCTAATTTGTGACTAAAATCAACCAGTTCTGTAAAGATCCTGATAACCAGTGTTTTGAACTGTGCATCTGAAAGACTGGCTATTTCTTCATCGCTTAGATCTATCGGTTCTGGGGCTCTGAGTTGTCCTAGGGCCATTTTTGGTCTATTCGTGCTGTTAAGTAAGCTGAGCGAAGCCTTAGTTGTTTACCAGGGCGGGGCGACCCAGGTCGCTGGTTTGTGACGCTGTGTGTGTGGGCGTGGTCAGAGAGGGAGCAGTAGCGGTCCTCTCCGCTAGCCCAGTCTGTCCTGTCACACCACTCGCCCCGGGCCTGTTTATCTGATCAGAATTGTGCGAGCCTGCTGCCCTGCGCAGGCTTCCCTCTTCACTGGTTTATCCGTACGCAGATGCGCGACCGACCGCAGACAGCCCGCCGCGCCTCTTCCCTGTGTGCTCCCGTAGCTAGCCCGAGACCTGCGGCTTCGGCTGCTTGCGCACCACCCTTTGGGGGATTTTTTTTTGCCAACCTGCTCCGCTGCTGGCTTCGCTTCTCTTACCGGTTTAGCTGAGTATTTAGTTGTCTTTGGACTCCGTATTGTCGATTTTCTGTGTGGTTTGGTTGTGTTTATTGTTGTTAAAAATAGTTCTTAGATTTGGTTGTGCACAGAGGCAAGGTGGTTCCACCTATATCTCCATCTTGGCGGAAGTCCAATAATCATGTTCTTAATTTGATATCATCAAAATGTGCCAATAAATGTTTCTTTTAAACTCAGCTTATTAAGTGTTTAAGAAGCTGTGGTTTGTCAGCAGGTTGTAAGGTTGAGGCCTTACAACCTTGCCCCGACAACCCCCAGTACTTCATACACCCAGGGCACACACTTGTGTTCCTAAGTATCATTTTTAAAATCAGTGGTAAACAAAGGCACAATTAGTGTATGCCCTCTCCTTTTTTCCTACCCTGAGTTAATGACTGATTTCAGGTTTTGCCTTTTTAATTACCTGTATTTTTTGGACCATAACATGCCCCTAGGTTTTAGAGGAAGAAAAGAGGAAAAAATTTTTGAAGCAAAAAATGTGGTAAAATATTTAATAACATAAATAACACAATACTTCACCAATGTAAAATGTAAACAACTCAACAGCAGCATTAACAACCATTATTCCTCTTAAATTGGGTGGGGTGTGTTGGGGGGTTCATCTTATAGCCCGAAAAATATGGTAAGCTTCTCCCTCTTCATTGCCCTCACAGCGATTTGCTGGCATAATACCATGTGTTTAATGTGTTTGGTAAAATTTATACATGTTTCTAATGATAACAGTAGTAACAACGTGTATTGAGTGAAGTTAATTTGTCCTGCATGTTCTCTTAATCTTTATTAAACTTGCTAAGTGTGTACTGTTATTCCCATTTTGCAGATGAGTAAATAGAGGTTCAAAAAGTTTAAGTAATGACACATCAGTATCAGCACAGTGAGGAGCTGGTACTGGAACCCAGTCACAACACTACTGCCTTCCCCTTAAATTGAAACTCCCCAGGATTTTAAGCATTTTAAAACTGACTTGAGATGTGGGGATTACATCTGTTTGGAAGGGCAGGTAGAGAAGTAATAAATACATATATAGGATGAATGGGATTTCCCATTATGTTAAACATGTTATAATCTCTTAACTCCCCAGTGTAATTTTTGAAGTATCAAGTTGCCAAGGTTTTTTTTTGTTTTTGTTTTTGCCTATTTTTATAATTTGTTCTCCTATCAATAGATAGCATATTGGAGCTTCTGAAGCTTCTTAAGAATAGTTGAAAAGTTGTGAACTTTGTTCATATCACTTGTTATTAGCTTCTCTTTACAAAACTTTCAGAAGAGGATTTCTGCTGGTGAACACAGTCTTGATAGGGGGTAATTTTGCTTTGCATTTTATTCTTGCCAGGATATTTTCCTATTCTGTTGCTCTGCTCTCCCCACCCCAAATTCCTACTGCTTTTTTTTGTGTCTCATACCTCCCTCCAACCCCCACCACATGAATATGGTAATGAAGCAATAGAGAGGCCATGAAGGTAACTTAGAATCCCTTTTCCATTTCTGGGTATGTCACACTTTTTTTTATACTAGTAACCGAAGAAGAACAAAGGAATTTGGCATCGTGAACTGCCCTTGAGTAGTTCAAAAGGAAAATGGTCCACATTCAAGCATTTCCTTATGGCCATTATAATATATGCTTAATTTCAAACAAAAACTGGTGAAAACAGGTTATGTGTGGTCATATTTGTGATGACTTGGGATATGAAGTCTTAATTGCTGTAGATTATGCTTTACTTGAAGGTTGGTATTTTTTAAAGACTAGTTTTATGTGTGGATTTATTTTTAAAGATAACTGAAAAATATTTAAACTTGGTTCAGATTATTACTTTTTAATTGTATGGAAATTAGTTCCTTTTGTATCCTAATATGTTTTCATTTAACATATTACATATGCTAAGTGAAAAAAATAACCTTGAGGAATTAATTTTCATTTTTCATAAGTAAATATTGGCTCTAATAGACTGCATTTTGTGTTTTTTATAAACAAGCAACCCTTCTGTGGGCCTCAATTTTGGAACTCTTGGAAGCACTGTGACTCCAGCAACTACATCTGCTCCTTCAGGTGGTTTTGGAACCGGGCTCTTCGGATCTAAACCTGCCACTGGGTTCACGCTAGGAGGAACAAGTGCAGGTAAGAAGGATTGTCACGTTTTCAGGGAGTAGGTCAAGTCCTGTACTGTATCTCCTCCCTTTACAAGTATTGTCATTAGTGGTAGTCTTTTAAAAATGGTAAAAATACTAAGATGAAAAGAAATAATATGCCGGTTCAGTCATCAGCTATGATTAGCATAAGGAAGGAAAACACGCATACATTTAAATAATTAAGGAAGTGATATCTCTTTAAATTTTTATAATAGATTATATAATATAGTGATTTAGTTCAGTGAAGATAATGTTAAGTTTACCAATTTGGCCATTAATTAGTATTTATGGGATAGTCAGCATCCTATTTTGCTATAACAGTGTAATTTACATTCTCACAAGATGTTTTAAATTGTTGAATTAAGACAGTTGTTTCACTGGGAAATGGGCAAGAGTACAAAGTATTCTGGTGTACATTTTAGTAATGTGTTTTTTTAATACTACAAGTATTTTGTCATTACAGGCTAAAAATATGTTTCACTGGAGTCACTTCCTCACTTACCCTTTATTCTCTACCATCAGAGCCTGTTGGCACCTTTTACAATGACCTTTCAGCATTGATTGCAACACTTTTCACAACCACATGTAGGAAATGAAAGAACTACAGGAGTAAATATGAGACCAGGGAGTGAGTGCGCTACAGCTGTGTGCCAGCTGGAGGGTTTGCCTTGGAGTAGCTTTTTTTCTTCCTTGTCTCATTTTGTTATAAGCAATAATTGTTTTCATTTTGTAAGTCTTATTTCCCAATTAATTAAATTGTATGTAGTTTGTCATATGAAAATCAGAGCTATAGGCAGAATGTTTACATCAGTTAGTGGTTATGGTAGAAGAAGAAATTGTAATATGTATTGGTCTTATTGGCATTATTCTCTCCATGAGGTTGATTCTGGGGTTTCAAGTCTTGCCCTTATGACAAACCCAAAGAATGCCACCTTCCAATAACGATTACATTTTATTTCACTTTTCATCCCCAGGAATAGCAACAATTATAACTACAGGATTAATTCTTAATAAGAACTTTACGGAAAAGATTTCAAATCTGTGGTTTTCTGCCTTTTCCTTACCTAATAGTCTCCAGAGCTGGGGTTTAGAGGAAATCATGTAAGGAGCTGAATATAGATCACTGATGCTAACTTATCAAAGAACCTTTCAGTATTTGAATTTTTTTAAACAAACTGTATAGTCCTTTTTTAAATCAGAAAAAAATTTTAATTCAGATAGGGTTTTTCTGCAGAAATTTGTTTGACAATACATTTTCAGTCATTTGAGTCCTTTAATGGAAAAAATACCAAAGTGTAGGCCAGATGTCTTGTAATTAAGCCCTGGTTGTACCTCTAATTAGTTTTGAGGCCTTAGTCATTGGAATATCTGGCAGCTTTTAATTATTTATAAAATGAGGGCATTGGACTATAACAAGTTTTTGGATTACCTTCCAGCTCAAAAACATCTTAGTTTTCTATAGCAATATGCTAAAGGGAATGTGAATAACTAGGGTTATAGCCTGTCTTGAATCTGGATGGAAGTAAATAATATGAAAGGAAATGAAAGGACCTTGAGAAACCTCAATTAAAATTAAATTAAAAATTGAAATAAAGGTCAGTGAGCTTTCTTTACTTGCCTGCTATTTCTATTATCAATAGAAAACACATGTTTACCACCAAAATTTTGGACAGAATTGGCCTCAAGGGTAAGCAACTGAATCCTTTTATTTTCCGAGATTGTAGAACTAATACATGATTTCAAAGTACCGTACTCTGGCCGGAACTTCCATTTGTGGTAAAGTCAATTCAGAAGGATAATTTTTGGCTTTTATTTTCTTGGCACTTTTAGGAGAAGCCAAACTGTAAGCCATTCTTGCTTTTCTTCATTTAAGTTTTTGAGCAGCTACTACTTCCTAACTCTGTGGCCTTAGGTATACATAATGCCTTGAACATTTAGTATTTATTAGCTGTTGATATCAGGAACTACTGAGTTCACGAGCAAGACATTCAGTCTGTTGTGAGGTGAGGGGAATAGGCAGGTATAATATTATGTTCCTGTGTAATCTGATAAGTGTTCTAACAAATATGTGAAAGGCACCAAGGAAGGCAGAGGAAGAAGAGAATAGGAGTTCATTTTGGGGGCAGGAAACATTCTAAATGGAGGAATGGAAAGTACAGAGGCCCAATCATAAAAAGATCCAGGGAAATAGGAAAAATACTTTCTTCTTGGAGTTTGGGATGCAGAGCTAGGAGTTATAGGGAGAGAGTTGGGACCAGATGGGAAAGATGAATGAATGCCAACTCTTTAGACTGTAACTTAGAGACAGCGGAGAGCTGAGAGCTAATGGGATCCTAATGCCAGGGAGGAATCAGTCACCAGGGTATTTTGTTGTTGTCTCTCTTTTGTTTTTTCTTTCTTTTTTAAAGTAACATATTTCTTTTTTTTTTTTTTTTAAGATTTTAATTTATTTATCTTTAGAGGGGAAGGAAAGGAGAGAGGGAGAGAAATATCAATGTATGGTTGCTTCTCATGAGTCCCCTGCTGGGAACTGGTCTGCAACCCAGGCATGTGCCCTGACTGGGAATCGAACTGCAGTTCTAAGAAGAGACGATAGGCTAGAGGAGGCAGATAACAGAGAAACAAATTAAGAGGCTATTGTAATAGTTCTTGAGAGAGAGAGATGGCCTGAATTAAGGTTTTTAAGGATGCTAATATTCCTGGGATATCTCTGAAGTAGAATTGACAGGATTTGTGACTAACAAAATGCAATGGAGAGAAAAGATGTCAAAGATGATTGTGGTTTCTGCCTTGAGCAACTGAATTGACCACAGGGGTTTAGATTTTTTTAAATGGAGAGTTGGAGGGGTCCAAAGGAACATTCAGGTAGAGCTAGCCAATTTAACTTGGATAGGTATAGATTTAGCCATGTATCTATAGCTGAAATTCTGAAAGTGGGTGAGATCTTTTAGGAAAGGAAGCAGGAAGTGAACCATAGGGAGTGAACCATTTAAGAAGTGAACAGGGGAAGGAGATCGACAAAAGTGGACTGAAAGGAGTAGTAGCATGAGCATCTGGGCACTGAAAAACACAGAAGCCAGAAGGAAGAGGATTTTAAGCATTATGCTAAGTGAAATAAGCCGGGTGGTGAAAGACAAATACCATGTGGTCTCATCTTTAATAGGAACCTAGTCAACTAAACAAACAAGCAGAATATAACCAGAGACACTGAAATTGAGAACAGGCTGACAGTGCCCAGGATGGGCGAGGGGAGGGGATTTCAGGGGAGAAGGGTGAAGGGTTTGCAGTGAGTGTAAAGGACACAGAAACGGGAGGGAGGTGGGGAGGGCTGCAGGGGTGGGCTGGGGTGGGCAAAAGGCAGAAAACTACTTGAACAATTAAAATTAAAATTCTTTTAATTAGGAGAGAGAATGGTCATTTAAGTAGTCTTGGAGGAAAGGGGCCATTTTTCTGCTGAGTATAAAGGAAAGGAAGGATAAATGTTGAAGGTTAATCTAGCAATAGAATTAAAATTGAATTTCAATATTATCACATTGATTGAATTTTCTTTTGCTTTTTTTAACTCACACGGTAATCTCAGTATTCACCACGATTTAGTCCCAGCTTTTATATTTTTCTCTCATATATACACAAGTACATCCTTGTTCTATCTGTTCTTTCCTTGTTCTTTACAAAAAGTGGGGTCACTAACTTTTAGGAATCCTGATTGACCGGTATAATACATGTACAGTTGTGGTAAAATAAGGAATTTTTTTCTTTTTAAAACAGGAACGCCAGCCACTACATCTGCATCTACAACAGGTTTCAGTTTAGGATTCAGTAAACCTGCAGCATCTGCCACACCATTTACTCTGCCTATTACGTCTACCTCAGCTAGTGGTCTTACTCTGTCATCTGCTTTGACATCAACTCCAGCAGGTGAGGCAGAATGAAAAAAAGTCACATTTTATGGTTAAAATATAATTTTATTTGGTTAGTGTATATAGGTATCCACCTTTATTAAAGTTAATTTCAATTTGGGAAATTTCTTATTTAAATCATTTGGCAGTTTTGACCTATTAAGTTACTGATTTGTAAATAAAGATAAGCATTGGGCATTAAAGCAGCAGAGGTCATCTTGGAAGTTGGTCTCTATTTACAGAGAGCAAAGCACAGGAGAGGATGAGAGAAATAAAATGTAGAAACATTAATATCTACTTTGTTTTTTAAGGGACATTTGGTGACAGGGAAGGATAAAGAGTTTGCATAAACCTTGCCTGGCGTAACCTCATTCAGATTTGAAGGTGGAGTTGGTGGCCTGGGCTAAAACCCCTTCATTACTATGTGAAATTAGTTTCCAGAAGCCATTCTATTGGGTAGGCCAAAAAGTCCATGTGGTATTTTCTGTAAAATAAAAGACAGTTTTCATTTTCACCAATAACCGTATTTATTGATTTGGATATTTTGAGTATGTCAGGTATCTCCCGCTATTGGCTTCTAGTGGGTAGAGGCCAGGGGTGCTGCTAAACATCTTCCAGTGACTAAGAGAACCCCACAGCAAAGAATTAGATGGCCAAAATGTCAGTAGTACCAAGAAACTTCACAAACCACTTTTGATGCATTCGATCAGTTATAGCACTTTTTCCACACACTGCACAAATCTTTTTTTTCTTATTTTTACCTTTTGTGAAGTAATAAAGCATAATACGCCAAAAAAGTTGCATATTTTCTTTCATCTTCAATATTAAGATGGCTACAGGAAAATTAACCAGTTTTTATTTTTTTAAAATACACTCTGATGTGACAGCTGTCATAATACAGTTTAATGAAGTTGTTTCAAATGCAGTTAAAGACAACTAAGCACTATTAGCGCTATTGTACAGAAAAAACTAAACAAACTTTTTGGCCAATCCAATATTATTATCCAAAGTTTTTTTCTGTCACTGATTTTTCTCTTTATTCATAAGTATATATAATTTTATTTTTATTGAGTAGTTTTCCCCAAGAGCCAATTTAATTATGGCCATCAGTTTTTTTTAATAAAGTGTTTTATATTTTCTGTGGTGTTCTAGAAACAGTGTTTCCTTTTGAGGCTTACAATCTCACTTTTTATAGCATCCACAGGATTTAGTCTAAATAATCTGGGCGGAACATCAGCTACAACTACAACAGCATCCACAGGCCTTTCCTTAGGTGGAGCCTTAGCTGGTTTGGGAGGCTCACTTTTCCAGAGTACAAACACAGCAGCCTCAGGTAATTGATGGCATTTACTCTCCAGAAATAGTAAATATTTAGTTTTCAATTTATTTTGGCATTTTCACCAGATTGCTTTGTCTCATTAACCTGTATGTTTTCCTTTCAGTATGAAAACAATTACAACATTTTTTTCATGCATAATTGGACATCTTAGCCATATTTTAGAAATAAATTTTCCTGTTCTCAGTATTGACTGACTAGATAAAGCAATGAAGAGGAGCCTGTGTGAGGAGTCAGTAAAGTTTCTAGAGAAACTTGTCTTTGTAATAAGTAGCAGTTGAATAGTCTTGGATCATTTAGGGTCTACAGTCATTGTAAGACATTGACACTTTAAGACCTGTGCCTAGGAATAGCCTTCTATTATGGACTGCAGGAAAGGGTATTAGCATGCTTGGAAAGCAAGATTGTAAGATACAATATTAAATAATTTAAATAATTTTGTTATGGTCAGGCAATACTAAAGTATTAATTCACCTGGCAGAGACTACTGAATTAATATTTTATATTTTGGGTTGATTTGTCATTTCATGCTTATTTTGAGATTAGCCTCATGTTAAGGATTCTACACGTTTTGAATATTGACTATAGCTAATGCCAATATGGGAAAGCCAGTGGAGCTCTGTGGGAGTGAGAAAAGCTTCCCTTTTATTTGAAGAGGTTGTGTGATTACCTCACATAGCAGTGTAACATCAAGAATTTCTGTTTAACAATTTACATATTAGGAATAGTTGATACATGGTAAATGTATCAACTATTTTTTTATAATTTATAATTGCTATTTTAGAGTATCTACTATGTGTCTAATTCTTGATTGTGTGGGAGAGATGAAGGACTATGACTTGATGATCTCTGTAAAAGTTTTTTTTTGTGTGTCCTCTAATACTAGATTTAATGGAGTAATTCCAGGTTGGTGGAAGGGGAAAAAAGGTCAAGGTAACCTGTAGAGATTTGTAATATTCAGATTTCATTGATCTTTCAAATACTTTGTCATTATTGTATTACTTTGTAGGTATTCCAAATGTCTTCCAATAACCAGATCACTAGATAACTCTTGTATATATTTCTTCACAGGATAGATATTTAAACCTTTTCCCAAAGATTCCTATGAGAGTAAGACACAGAAATAATAAATAGGGGAGGTACAGTGTTGTTTTTGTGTTTCATTATTGCATTTTTTGGTTTATTCTGATTTTTCTTAGGCTCATGACACAATAGTCGATGCTTAATTTGACTGTTAGGTTAGTTATATTAACCTAAGGGTGCCATTGATTTTTTGAAACTTAGTAAGTTATTTATTTAGCTACATGTTTTTTTACATTGCCAGTATTTAAATTCCGTTTTCATTTATCCCATGCTCTTATCAGTACATCCCATTGTTTTCTGTTTTTAAAGTAAATAGCATCTTCTTTTAAAAAAAAAACCCCACAGTTGCGTCAGTTTGGAAATGTACGGATTTATATGATTTATCAGCCCAAGATCTTTGAAATTTTGCTACTTGATTCACAAGTATATATTGATGACTTAAAATTAACTGTAGTCTAGCCCCTTTTGTCAGTGAAGTAGGATTTAAGTAAATGAAGTCTGCTTTTTTAAAAAAAAGTTTTATGAAAAGAACTTGGAAGTATGAAATTTTAATGTTTAAATGGTGAGACTTTTGATTACCAGTTCTTTAAAATTCATTCATAGTAAACTGTTTGCTTTATATGATACTAAATTCTTATAAATCCGTATTGGATATTTATTTTCCCTCAGCTTTATTGAGGTATAATTGACAAAATTGTAAGATTTTTAAAATGTACATGATTTGATAGATATATATGTTGTAAAATTATACATTATTACTAACTTTACCTTTTGAGTTAACTAATACATTCAATACTAGAATATTTTAAAAGTACGTAATACCAAGTCATGATTGAAGACAAGATATATTTACCCGAAAACATACAAACTAAAACTGCTTTTGTAGATAAGGTTTACAAGCAAGAAATAAGATTATCCACATATACCAAATTAACATATTTTGATCTTTTTAATAAAGAAAACTCATATCCTCCAAAGCACAAGTGCTGTTGAACACAAGCAAGACTATGAGTTCTGTTTGGAGTGTGCTCCAGGCCTGTTTCTTGTTATTTTCCTAAATTAAATATTCAGAAAATCTGGGATTCAACTTAAAAGCATTTGAGTGCTGTAGTGTGAAGACAAAATCACTATAAAGACTTCCAGTGAACTTTGTAAATAGGTGTTTGGTTTATTCGTAGGTCTTGGACAGAATCCTTTAAGTTTGACTTTGGGAACCACAGCAGCTACTTCGGCTGCAGGCAGTGAAGGTCTTGGTGGTGTAGATTTTAGTAGCTCATCAGATAAAAAGAGTAAGTAATGTTATAATTTCATGTTCTAACAGTCCTGCGATATGTACGTTTCTGTGTCTGGAAGATCATTAGTTATATCTTCATTAGTGAAGTTTTTACTTCTCAGTTTGTATGCATTATATTTTGTAAATTTTGTGTTTGACATTTAAGATTTTATTTTTGTAGAAAATTGAAATTTGTATGCACCTATGTCTTATGTAGCTCTCTCAATGTGTGTATTAATACATGTTTTTTTTTTGTTTGGGATCATAATACATACTTTGTTTGGAACTTGTTCTTTCTCATGTAGAATTTCAGAAGTATTTATGAATGTCAGTAATTCTTTAAAAGTATTTTAATGCTGCTCACTATTAATTTAATGAATGACTATAGCAATTTAGTCAGCCATCATCCAGTTGTTAGTGTTTGTTTTCAGCTCTTTATTCTGGGAAATATCACTGTATTGGGCCTCTTTAAAGAGTGAGTCCAGGTAGTATTGTAGTTTAAAGAGTGTCAGCTTTGGAGTTGAAATTGCCTGGGTTCAAATCCTGGCTTGACTGTTCACAAGCTCTGTGACCTTATTCAAGTTATTAATTTTCCCTGTGCTTTAGTTAGGTTTTTTTTTTAAATCTGTGAGTGGGGAAAACTACCTACTTTGTAGGGTTAGTTTGAGGATTACTATATTTGCAAAACTTCAGCAGAGCCAGACATACGGTAAACACTGTTTGCTTTGATTGTAAATTTTATTTATATTTTTATTATCTCTCTTTTTTTTTTTTTTTTTTTAGATTTTATTTATTTTTAAAGAGAGGGGGAGATAGAAAGAGGGGGGAAGGAGGGAGGGAGAGAAACATAAATGTGTGGTTGCCTCTCATGTACCACCCAGTGCAGGGAACCTGGCCTGCAACCCAAGCTTGTGCTCTGACTGGGAATCGAACTAGTGACCCTTTGATTCTCAGTCAAGTCAGCACTTAATTCACTGAGCCACACCAGCTAGAGCATTTATGATGATCTCTTTAGGGCAAATATCTAGAAACTGAATCACTGGCTTAAAGACAGGAACATTTTGGAGCTTTTGTATACATTGTGAAATTGCTTTCCAGAAAGGTTTCATCAAATTATTTACCCACCAAGTATGAAAATGTCCTTTTTACTGTGCTTTTGCTATGCGGAATATTCTCTTTAAATATTTGCCAAATTCATTTTGAAATGTTTTTTTATTGTTGTTCGTTTTCTGTATGATTTTTTTGTTCTGTTTTACAACATCTTTTCTGCTTCTGATGGAAACATGTCTTACTGGAGGACACACACATACATACTACATTGAGTCTCTCAGAAGAACTTGAGAGTGAGGGAGTGATATAAAATAGTCAGTGTCCATATATCTGTATAAGAAATTTTAAAATTGGACATGGGTTTTATTATAAGGAGATATTACTTGTTCTAGGGCAACTTGCTATCCTAAAAGTTGGTAAAATTCCTTTAAACTTAACACAGGTTGGGTTTATTTCTCTTTGAATGAAAATTTACTAATTTCTAAACATAGAATTCTCTTATTTTTATGTATTCTTTTTTTTTAAGATTTTATTTATTTATTTTTAGAGAGAGGAAGGGAAGGAGGAAGAGAGGGAGAGAAACCGATCAATGTGTGGTTACCTTTCTAGTGTGCCCCCCACTGGGGACCTGGCCTGCAACCCAGGCATGTGCCCTGACTGGGAATCAAACCAGTGACCCTTTGGTTCTCAGGCTGGCGCTCAGTCCACTGAGCCACAGCAGCCAGGGCTTTATGTGGTATTCTTTATAGCAACTCCATTGTTAGAAAAATAGGCTTAGCTGTTCTAGCAGCTTTTTCTTTTTTAAACTCAGTTGGAGCAGCCTGATACCCTCTAATTTTATTTTAAGCATGAGACTACTTGTCTCTCTATTGTGATTGCTTTTAGGCTCCATGTGAAGGAGCAGATTGAAGCAAAGGAATGAGAAAAAATGTAAGGAGGTAATCCCTCCTCTCCTGCCCCAGTCCTTTTCTCATATATATTGTACCTTTGTTAGAACTGGGCAAAAGGAACACACAGAAAAAATGCATATGATTGCATGTACCACATTCCAGTTCTCTCTAATCTTCTGTTTGTGTTAAGGGAGTTAGGGGATCTTTTTTTTTTTCATCTAAAAGATTTTTTTAGTAGCTGTACTACTATGTACCTGTAGTATCAGTGGATCAGTGGGATTTAATCAGATGCAGAGTGGAGGGAACAACATTGCATGAAGAGGGGGCAGCAGAGCAAGCCCGAGAGATGAGAGTGATATTAGCCCTTTTGAAGAACTGCTGGAAGGCCAGCATAGCTGCAGAACAGAAAGATTCAAATTCCAGAGATTGAGAAGGGCCTTGTATAGCACATTAAAGAGTTTTGTAATTATACTGAGGACAGTTAAGATCTACTAAAGGGTTTTGATGAGGATAATGTGACATGATGAGATTTGTATTATAAGAGCATTCTGACTGGAGAATAATGTCCAGGAAGCCAAGAATAAATGTGTAGAACTGTTAGGAAGCCTTTCTGGCAGTCCCTGGGTATGACTGAGGCAAGCTAAGTAGGCTGATCAGGAGTCCACAGTCGTCTAAAAACAGGTTCAAGTTTTCTTATATGCATGTTTGTGCATGTGTTAATTTTTATAAAGTTTTTTACTTAGTACTAAAATGGAATATCAAAGAAATAGCAAAATAATAGCTAGTCAAGAAAAAAGTTGAACTTTTTAGAAGAAAAAATTAAATCCCTACCTTATCTTACCATGTCTCATCAAATCTAAGACACTGTTTATAGAACATGGGTGCCAATTTCAGAAATGTCCAACCTAGAAAGAAAAAAAAAAAATCTTAGAATCAATGAAATACAAAATATGGAAAAATAAAGTTGAATTAAAGAGGTAAACAAAAAGAAATTCCATGTACAAAGATATAAGGTAAATGATGAGTTTAAAGTGAAATACTTGATTTCTAGATGCTGCTTTTTTCACGTTTTAACATCTGTTAAGCCAAAATGCATCTTAAAATTATAAGGATCTAGTTTTAGAAATAGACACAGGAAATATAATACATATGAGACAATTAATTTGCTTAATGTTGAAATAGCTCTTAGAAGTAAGAGAAATACTTCAAGGTACAAATAGCATAAACAGGTAGTCTATAAAAGGAGAAGTGTACTTGTCTAATATTTTAAATAAGTGTTTTACTTAGTACTATCAGGATTATGAATTAAGATTATAATAAAGTGGCATTTTCACCTACATACTAACTTTAATGGGTTCATTGTTGTTGAGAGTGGGGTGGAAAAGGTACTCTTATTCCTGGTAGATGGGAAGGCAAGTTGGGACAGTTTTTTCCTCAGGAATCAGTTTGGTATTATGTCAGAGGCTGTCCCTCGCATACTTTTTGATCTATAAATTCTGCTTGGAATACAAATCATGTAGTGCACAAGTATTATATTTGTAGATATAGACAAATTGAAGCAGTATTCTTTCTTTAGTAAATACTGATATGCTATGAAAGGGGTTGGGCATAAATAAAGATTATAATACAGCTACATCATCTCTGCACTGTGTAGTCATTTAAAGTCTTTTTAATTGAAGTGGAAAATATTCACAACATGCTGAGAAAATATGTTAAAAAATAACGTAGTGATCCTGATTGCTTAAAAACATATGTGTAAGTGCAGAGAAAGGCTGGATGAAACCACTGAAATTCTCTGTGGGGATGAAGGTTTGTGGGTTTCTCTGTTTTCTATACTTCCTTAAATAAACATGTCACTGCAACATTTTGCTAAGGAGCACTTTATTACTTTTTTTCCTGTTTTTAGATGTATACTATTAGATGTAATGAAATAGGTGTTATTACTAACAGCTTTTGATTGGTCTGCAAACAAAAAATATTCTTCATTTAAAAAAATTGCTGCTTTTGTAAATATTTAGAGAAGTCAGGTAATCTGATGTATTTTTTAGTATTCCCTGATTGAGCCTCAAAAAGAATTAAGCAAAGCTCTTAGGAGTTAAACTGCCAAGTAGGAATGTTTTTCGTGGAACATAGTTAAAATATTTTTTAAATTTATTTTTAAAAGTTGTTCAATTACATTTTGCATTCAGTATTATTCTGTATTAGTTTTAGGTGTACCACAGAGTGGTTAGAAAATTAATGTACTTTACAGAGTGGTCCCCTGATGCTTCAAGTAACCTCCTGGCCTCATACACGGTTATCAATAGTTATCACAATATTATTGACTATGTTCTGTATGCTGTCATTTACATCTCTGTGACTGTTCTGTAACTACCAAATTGTACTGCTTAATCCCTTCATCTTTTTTCACCCAGCTGCCCTTTTCCTACCCCTCTGACTGCTCTCAGTGTATTTTCTGTATTTATAAGTCTGTTTCTATTTTGTTTATTTTATTCTTAGCTTCCACATATAAGTGAAATCATATGGTCTTTGTTTCGTTCTCTCTGACTTCTTAAGGAAGATTCTTGCCCTTGAAAGAAATAGATGCAAATCAGCTACATAACTGTTTATACATGCATAAATGTGTCTTCATAAGTAGCTATGTTTGGAGTTTGTGGTAAGTCATGTTTAAGGGGCAGTGTAGGAAATACTTACGTTTCTATTTATACCTTAGTTTGCATTAAGTCAAAACTTATATTTGCAGTACGTTGTTAAATTACCTAATTTTACACAAGACTTCTTGAATTTTCTAGGTGATAAAGCAGGAACAAGACCAGAGTAAGTTTACAGTTTAACTTTTAAAATATTCTAATTAGTGAGTTCAGTTTATTAAATTGTAGGCAAATGATGTGGTTGGAAGTATGTGGAATCATGTAGGCATTTAGCAGAAAAAGAATTTTAACCATTCTTTGTTAAAGTAATAAACATGCTCTACTAAGATTATAAAAGTTCAAATCTTTAATTTTTAATCATTAAGAAAATTTATAACATTGTTTTCAGGAAATAATTGGATATTCCCCACGTAATACAAATAAATGCAAATATATGTGTATATTCTTTTAACTTACTAAATATTGAACAATTCGTGGAACTTTACTCTTGGAACACCTTTTATATATATAAATGAAAATAATACAGTGTGTGCATGTACCTTTTTTATATATATAAATTACTCTGACAGGACTATTTTATTTTTTGAGAATGAAGAGGAATAATAATAGTCCCCATTTATATTCTATGTATGTTTAAGGTTATTATATTTTCTCACATAATTTGTATTATGTTAAAGAAAGCATTTGTAAATACATGATCAAGTTCACTCTTCCCAAATATCTTATGTATATTTTAGTCCTGTTACATAAATGAGGAAGCTGAGAGAGACTGAGATTTACCTGGGATTATTATCCAGGAAGTGGTCTGCAACTCAAGTCTAACTCATGATTCCATTACAGCCTGCCAAATTTCACTTATTCCTGTCTTCACTTATTCACTTATTTCACTTACTCATTAAATATTTGTGATTCCCTAGGTCTACTTTGTTGAAAGACATAGTGAAGTTATAAAATAATAAAGTAAAATACTATGAATATCTCATTATGAGAAGTTTTGTAGACTTTCTTTAATGAATGCTTTCATGTTTTTGAACTGAATAAAGTGTAAAACATAGATTTTTGATTCAGGAGCTACTTAGTTCAGTATCTCATACAACCTGTAGTATTTTCTTTTTTCTTTCTTCCCTGTAAACTTTTAGTCAAGTGCATTTACATACATGCCAGTCATCTTAGGAATCTCCACATCAAATGAATTGTTAGTTATTTCATATGTCAGGAAATTTATTGTTCTTTATAAAGAAATTCAAAATTATCCAAGAAAGCTATAAATGGGGAATGTTTGCTTAATTTTTTGTATCATAACATTCTAATAAAACTCAGCTGTCACCTTTTTATCATCTCAATGGTTTTAATACATCTGTGGCATTTTCTCTTAGGGATAGTAAAGCACTGAAGGATGAAAATCTACCTCCTGTCATCTGCCAGGATGTTGAAAATCTCCAGTAAGTGTGTCAAGTGTAATTAGATAAATCATACTTGAATGCAAGAATATATTTTAGGGGGAATATCTCTTCCTAAACATTTTAACTTGGATTAAAATTTAATGATTTTAGAAATTAGAGTGAAAGCAGGACAACAGGAATTAAAATTCTGTAACTGCTATATTGTAAAGAAGCATGTGAACTGTAGGTGAGTTTTTAGTTTTTGCTTCTTAAAACAGTTGAACTCTGACTGACCTATTGTAAAAAGTACAAACTATTGTCCAAAGGTGTTATTTTTTTTTTAAACCCAGTTTTATTTTTTTTAAGGAAATTTGTGAAGGAACAAAAACAGGTCCAAGAAGAAATTAGTAGGATGTCTTCAAAAGCAATGCTTAAAGTACAGGAAGATATTAAAGCTCTCAAGCAGCTTCTGTCATTGGCTGCCAGTGGATTACAAAGAAATACTTTCAATATTGACAAATTGAAAATAGAAACTGCTCAGGTAAATTAAAGTCATTTTATCAAAGTGTGTGTGTGTGTGTTTCAGATGGAAATGCATTTTTTTATATTACAAAATTTGATATAGACATTACTATAGAAAAACCATATAACTCATAGACTTTTAAATTGGTATAGTAATAATAGTTACAAGTATTTATCTGGTGTTTACTATGGATGAGGCAGTGTTCTAAGCAGTTTACATATATTGACCCTAAAGTGGAGTTTTCACTATAGCCCTGTGTGGTAGCTGCTATTACTAACTCCATTTTATAAAAAAGAAAGCAGGCAGGGAGCTTTGTTGGTCAGTGGGAGAGCTTGGATTCAGACCCCAGCAATCTAACTCTAGAGCTTATTCTGCTAACTACTTTGTTTCATAAAAATCCCTGCTGGCACAATTGTTTTACAGGAAGAAAGCAGCTCGACAGAAAAAGATGTCTTTTTAATTTGTCAGTTATTAAATAAAAATTATGTGCTTTTATAGATATTAAATACTACTGATGACTTGCTAGTCTTAGGTCTTAGTTGCCAGTCATACAAGTGGTATTGATGCTAGCATCTTCTGTCACTCATGTCTACTTGCTTTTTGTTCCTGTGCTATAACATACATAATATATAGGAGTAGTCAAGAGTAGGCTTTCAGTTGTGAATAAATGGAACACATAGTTTATTCTTGTAGTATTATTTATTAATAATTGTACTTATTTGTATTATAAGTACACCTAGCTTTGCCCACATGTGTATATAAAAGATATAATAAGGTAGATCTTTTTTAATGTGGGCTTATCAGAGAACTATGTTCTTCGTAAATTAAGTGATAATATGGGGTCCAGCACAAATAACACTACTTTTTTAGACAAAAATCTTTTATTACAAAATCATAAGCATGTAATTCTGTAACATAATATGACAGTTAAGCGTATCACATGACATTTTAGGTGAAATGTTTGAATTAAAACTATAAATAATTATATCCATATTATTATCCTACCAACCACACTCAAGAAGGTGTTATTTCTGCCAGACCCTGTATTTTAAGAAAAAATTTCAAAGTACATGTCTTTTTAAATTCAAATATAATTGGCATAAAACTTTTTTGAGATGTACAGTGTAGTGATGCAATATTTGTATATATTACAGTTAATGTCCATCATCAAAAATAGTTAAAAATGTTTTTTTTCACCTTGTAATGAGAATGTTTAAGATCTGTTTTCTTAGCAGTTTTCAGGTAGACAGTATAATATTACCAACTATAGTCATTGTGCTGTAGAGTACATTTCCAGGACTTATTTTATAACTGGAAGTTTGTACCAGCTTATGTGACTTTAATTCAACTATTGGAAAATACTTGATGGTTTTTAGTGTGTTTTGTTGTTGTTCTTTTTTAAAGATTTTATTTATTTATCTTTGGAGGGGAAGGGAAGGAGAGAGGGAGAGAAATGTCAGTGTATGGTTGCCTCTCGTGCATCCCATGCTGGGAACAGGCCTGCAACCCAGGCTTGTGCCCTGACTGGGAATTGAATCGCAATCCCTTGGTTTGCAGGCTTGTGCTCAATCCACTGAGCTACACCTACAAGATCAAAATACTTGATGTTTTTAATAAAAATGTGTTACTCAAGTGGATATTCTAAATGTGTTACTCAAGTAGATATTCTGTGATGTTTAAAGAGTATTCAGAGTTTTATATTCTGCATTTAGATTTCCTATTACAAATTCTTTGGTTAACTATGAAAAGTATTTCCATCTATTCTTCTTTTTTGTATCATCAAATATGTACGTTCCAGAAGGAAAATGTTAGTTATGATTTTAGACTGACTAAACATTACATGAAATTATAAATTTATCGTGTAAAATAATGAAATTATATGGAAAAGGTCATTAGCAAAGTAAGAGAGAAAGCAAACTTAAGAGAAATGGGATTTCCAGCCAAGATGGAGGCGTAGGTAGATACACTGCCTCCTTGCAAACTATAAAAACAAAAGACAACTAGAACCGCCAGAAAATTAAATTGTATGGAAGGCTGACAACTAAGCAGTCAAAGAAGAAACATTCATACAGGTAGGAAGGGTGGAGAGGAAACATGGCAAGGTGATGACTAGAAGACAAGGCAGGCAATGCAGCAACTGGGTGGTCCCACATTTACATTAGAATAAACTGGGAGGAACAATTAGGGAGGGAGAAAGACTGTGCAACCCAGGGTTCAGCAGGGTGTAAAAGAAAGCCTCCAAACCTGTGGCTATAAAAACCTGTGGGGGTTGTGGCAATGGGAGAAATTCCCAGCCTCACAGCAGAGTTCGTTGCAGAGACACACAGCATCTTAGAACATACACAAACCCACCCACCCAGGAATAAGCACCAGGAGGGCCCAATTTGCTTGTGGGTAGTAGGGGAAGTGACTGAATGCCAGCCAAGAGCCTAGCAAGGGGCATTGTTCCCTCTCAGACTACTCCCCCACATACAGCACCACAACCCAGGGCAGGGTTGCCCCGCCCTGGAGAACACCTAAGGCTCTACCCCATATTACGTAACAGGCATGCCGAGACAAAAAGATACGGCCCAAATGAAAGAACAGATCAAAGCTCCACAAAAAAATACAACAAAGTAATAAAGGGGTAGTCAACCTGTCAGAGGCAGAGTTCAAAATACTGGTAATCAGGATGCTCACAGAAATGGTTGAGAATGGTCACAAAATAGAGGAAAAACTGAAGACTATGAAAAGTGAAATAAAGGAAAAGGTACAGGGAAACAACAGTGAAGGGGAGGAAACCGGGACTCAAATCAAGAGTTTGGAGCAGAAGGAAGAAACAAGGATTCAAAAAAATGAAGACAGGCTTAGGAACCTCCAGGACAACTTTAAAGTGTTCCAACATCCGAATCACAGGGGTGCCAGAAGGAGAAGAGGAAGACCAAGAAATTGAAAACTTGTTTGAAAACATAATGAAGGAGATTCTCTGCCATCCCTAATATGGCAGAGGAAATAGACTTCCAGGAAGTCCAGGAAGCTCAGAGAGTCCCAGAAAGGTTGGACTCAAGGAAACACACACCAAGGTGCATCATAATTGCATTAGTCAAGGTGAAAGATAAGGAGAGAATCTTAAAAGCAGCAAGAGAAAAGGGAGACAGTTACCTACAAAGGAGTGCCCATAAGACTGTCAGCTGATTTCTCAAAAGAAACCTTGCAGGCAACAAGGGGATGGAAAGAAGTATTCCAAGTCATGAAAGGCAAGGACCTAAATCCAAGATGACTCTACCCAGCAAAGCTATCATTTAGAATGGAAGGGCAGATGAAGTGCTTCCCAGACAAGGTCAAGTCAAAGGAGTTCATCATCGCCAAGCCCTTATTGTAGGAAATGTTAAAGGGACCTACCTAAGAAAAAGAAGATAAAAAATATGACCAGGATAATGACAGCAAACTCACAACTATCAACAACTGAACCTAAAGAGACAAACAAAAACTAAGCAACCAATTAGAAGAGGAACAGATTCACAGGAATAGAGATCACATTGAAGGTCATCAGCAGGGAGGGGGAGGGAAAAGAATGAGGGGAGAAGTGGAGGGAATAAGAAGCAAAATTGGTAGGTATGAAATAGACGGAGAGGTTAAGAATAGTAGAGGAAATGGAGAAGCCAAAGAACTCATATGTATGACCACGGACATTAACTAAGGGTGGGGATGCTGGTGGGAGAGGGGGTGCAAGGTAGGGTAGAATAAAAAATGGGACAACTATAAAAGCCTTATCAATAAAATATATGTAAAACAAAAAAGGAGGAGAATTGAATGCCATAATGGGATCCATTGTAACTTTTAACAGTTTATGCTACCTGTTACTTGTTAGTAGTCTTTTAGAGATAAAAATGCAACTCTAAAGGTACTAAAAGTCTGGTGAGTTGAATGAAATAATAAAAGATTGGGTAGGGTATAAAGGTAGCAAATGAAGGAGATATGAGTCAAAGTTTACTTAAGGAAAAAAATCATTTTGAGTTGAGCTTAGGAAATTTTATATGGGATGTCAAAGAAATTTTGATCTAAGATTATTTTTATTTCCAGTATATAGGGAGTGAGTAGAATTTGTGTTCTATATGCAACCTAGTAAATTACCATTTGGAAAAAAAATGTTCTGGCTCCAGTAATGTCTGAAGTAGTTACCCATCTGACTTAAACCAAAACCTTATTTTTTTTTAAAGAAAGCTTTTCTGGGAAATATAAAGCAGTCCTGAGGTGAGGAGTAGTGTCGTGATTGTGTCGACCAGAACCTTACGGTAGCAAAATCTTTTATATATGTCATTTTGGGGGATATAAAACTGAAGAGTTTAAAGTAGGGTGGTTAAAGTTTTTGGGAGTGTAGGGCGGGTGCCAAGTGGTTTGTTGAAGTTAATGCTGAGTTCATGCATTCAAGAACTTTTTTTTTAAGATTTTATTTGTTTAGTTTTAGCGAGAGGGGGAAGAAAGGAGAAAGAGAAACATCAATGTGTGCGAGATACATCGATTGGTTGCCTCTTGCATCCCCAACTGGGGACCTGGCCCACAACCCAGTCATGTGCCTTGACTGGGAATTGAACTGGCAACTTTTCATTTTGAAGTCTGGCACTCAGTCCACTGGGCCACACCAGCCAGGGCCATTCAGTGAGCATTTTAAAGTATCTGTTACATACAGAACATTTCAATCAAAATATAATATTCTAGAGAGAATATTATATTCTCCCAAAGAATATTATATAATATTGGGACCAAAATATAATATTCTAGGGAGAGTTAATTAAATTTGTTAGGTAGAATGTTATAGTAGAAAGTGTGATGAGTATAAAGGGCTCAAGTGGGCACTTTTATTATCTGTCCAGAGTAGGATATCTTTGTGGTTGTTCTTGAAAAATACTTGGGTGTTCCCTAGTCTGTCAGGAAGGAAGGCATGGGGGCATGAAATAGACATGTTTGAGGATCTACAAACAGTTCATTATTAAGAATATGAATCTGGGCCTAGTAAGAGTCAGTGCTTAGAGAAATAAGCAGGGGTCAAAGTTCAAACAGCCCAGACATCTCCAGGGCATTCGTACTGTAGTAAGATAGGGTAGAAATTTGAACTCCAGAATGAAAAGGAGATGGGAAGAACAGTGAGAGGCCTAACAGTTTGGCAGTAAAATGAAGGCAACAGGTTGTCACAGGGAACAAACGTTAAGGTACGATACTTTTTTTTTTTTTTTAGTAAGGGAAACTTAAATAGAAGTTGAACAGGCAGCGAAATGGTAGGAATGTGAAACAGAATATCAGCCTTGGAAAACAATTGACTAGAACATAGAAATGGCATTAGGAACAGTCAATTTCAGAATGGTCGAGTCTATAAACTTTAAAAATATTGTGCCGCCTAGGTTCAGTTCTCAGGTCTTTGAGCTATGTGGCTTTGGGCAAATTACTTAGTGTCTTTAACTGCATTTTTTTTCATTTGTAAGTAGGGAAATGTGTACAGTATAGGATTATTATTGAAGATTAACCATGATAATATAAGGTAAAGCCTTCAATATAGTGGTTGGTACATAATAAGTACCCAGAATGTTAACTGCTGCTGTCATCAGCCTCAACATTGTTAACTGTTCCTTGCTTTTCTACAATAATGTTTTCTACATTTATATTAAAGGTTTTTACATAGTAGTTTAGTCTTTTACTGTGGATAAATTAACTTCATGAGACCTACAAAAATTCACAGTTTTTAAAATAGGTCAGCATTTCATTAAACATTTATCATAAGGTTTGTTAAAAGTATAGTTTGGCTTTGGAAAGAGTTTTTAGCACTTGTGAATCAGGTTTATTCATACTATGTTCTCACAGTATGGAGCCTTCAAGAATGACATTGTTTGAAGTTTCAAACCTGAAATAGTTGGCAGTTTTAGTCTAACTGTTAACTGGCCTTTTGTTTTTTTTTAAACCTCTGGTGGATTAGGAGTTGAAGAATGCTGAAATAGCATTAAGAACCCAGAAAACACCACCTGGACTCCAACATGAAAATGCAGCTCCTGCTGAGTAAGTTACTAGAATTTTTAAAGTAAGTTTTTCTCACTTTACAAAAGCAGAACAGTGAAAATAACATACAGGGCAAGAATTTTAGTTTACTAGTAGCAAGCCTGGGTTAATGGGCACTTTATATCGATTTTTTCATTTAATTCTCATGCTAACCTGAGGAGGGTAGTTTATAATCCCCATTTTATTGAAGGTAAGTGAAGGCTAAGAACTGAGCTTTTAACTATTATGCCATTACTCTTCATTTACATTCTACTTGTGGGGTTTATTCTATTTTTTTTTAGTAGAAATTTGTTTTACCCATTAGTACTTCTCATTTAAAAATAACTTTATAATAGTCCCTTTTTGAAACAGTGCATACTAAATGCAGTTCAACTCTTATTTATTTGCATAGCTTTTATTTACATAGGTAATAAATATTTAGGAAACAAAATTATAAAATATAGATAAGTAAACTTAAAATTAAAAAATCCACCTATAATCTCATCATTCAGCTTCTTAAATTCATGTAGTAACCACACATGTGATGTATATCTTACCTTTTTTATCCTTTGTGTTACTAGAGATAATAATAGCTAATATTTATCAAATGCTTACCATATGCCAAGCAGTGTGCTTAGCACTTTACATACTGATCTCATTTCCCACAAAACCTCTACAGCTGGTACTGTTGTGATCTTAGAGGTGGGGAGCCTGGGGCCTACGGAGGTCAGGTCCTGTGCTTCTAAGTGGTAGAGGGCTGGCTCCTGGTCAGACTTTTTTTTTCTTTTAACTTTTTATTATGACATGGTTTCAGACTTACCAGGAAAGTTTCAAGAATAAAACAAAAGAATTTGCATTGTCTTTTTTCTAGATATCCTACACGTTAACAGTTTTACTATTTTTGTTCCTTGCTCTCTGTATGTATAGATGCATTTTTTCCATATATAGCTTGAGTTGTTTGCAGATATGATACCTTTATGCCTAAGTACTTCAGTATGTATTTCTTAAAACATAAGGATATTATTAAAATCAAGAATTAACAATGGCAATGATATTCCTATTTAGCACAGAATGTACTTCTTTGCTGGAGTTTTTCTAGTATTTTATCCTTGTGTCTTTTTATTGTTCTGCCATCAGAGGTAGTTTTGATAGGGTGAATCATATATATTGTGGGGCAACTTTCTCGTAAGTCCCCCCGGTTGCCATGGATGAGAGTGAATATGACCGAGACATGATGTGATCTGCTTGGGGAGGAGAAGTGAGCAGTGGCCAATTTCTCAGGGGAAAAAAGGCCAGCAGCGGCCAGTTTCTCTGAATAGAAAAAGGCCTCAAGCCCCCTCTTCCATAGCCTTTTATTGGGTTGTAATACACAGAAATACAGGGCGACAAGGATCAAACAGCAGATAACATTTCAAAGAAATCTGAGGGCTTCAGAGTCTGTCCAGAACAGAGTTTTAGGGTTTCCTGCTCGAACCCTTAACATTAAGAATGAAAGCACTCTTAGCAGAGCAGATTTCACAGGTTTATCAGGAAGCCTTTGTGATGCCAGATTTTTCCCTAGGACATGCTTTAGCAAGGCAAGGAGCTGCACCCTTCCCCATCAGGTATTAAGGCTTAAGGGGATTAGAGCCAGGAAGTGCTTCTCCCAGAGAACATGGGGACTCGGTTATGTCAAAGCTGGGGGGGAGGGTCCATTGCTCTTTGTTGCAGCCCTTCCCCCCCTCCAGGCCTTCCAGGAAGGCCTCCTAAGAGATCAAGTCTGGCTTAGGTTGCCCGCCTCCCCCCACCCCCCACCCCTGCTGCTGTGAGGGGTCTTACCTGTCATTGACTTCCAACCAAGCTTTGGGGCCAGGGAGAGGAGACTGTGGCAGCATTTGCTACCAGAGACAATCTTTGTCTCCTGCGGCTGGCACTCCAAACATCGTTCCTCACCCTTAGCCACAAGGGGTGGAGATAAAATTCCTAAAACCAGGCAGAGCAGTCTACAGCAATATATTACATTGCAAAAAGCTTTCAGAGTTCCCCATTTCATGTACAATAATGTTCAGGCTGCTTTGCATGCTATTCAAGGTCCCTTTTTGTCTTTCTAGCATTCCCTAATTAAATTTATCAGAACAATAGTAATTACATGAGCTTTCTGTAGCACACTATAGTGTTTTCAGGTTATAAATGGTATTTCAGATTATAAATATAAGAACTGTATTAGGTTATAAATTCTGGTTAGCAATTGAACTTTTAAAAAACTTATTTTAAAGTTATTTTAGACTTAGCACAAAACTGGCAAAAGTGGTAATAAAAAGGAGTTTTCTTTTTTTTCTTACTCTGTTCCCCTTAATGTTAACATACTGCATAATCATAATTATCAAGAATGGGGGGGCTGGGATGGGAGTAAAAGACCAAAAAAAAAAGAAAAAATAATAAGTAAAAGTGTTTTGTACAGTAAAAAAAAAGAATAGGGAATTAACATTGGCATAAATAATTAACCAAACTACATAACTTACTTGAATTTCACTGACTTTTTCATTAATGTGATGTTTTTGGAATCTGTTTTTCACTAGTGTACTTTTTCTACTCTAGGATCCTCTATTCACATTGCATTTAGTTGTTCCTGCTGCTTAATCTCTTTCAGTCTGTAGCAGTTACTCAGTCTTTCGTCCTGGATGACCATGATACTTTTGAAGAGTTTTAAGTTACTTTACAGATTATCTTTTATTTGGGATATTTTCCTGATTGGAGTAAGGATATACATCTATTTTTGATACCTTGGTAACTTATAAGTCTGAGTTTTTGTTTCAATAATGCCTGCACCACTAAAAGATACATTAGATCATCAGACTAACTCAAAGGCCCTACTTAAACGGAAGCCTATATTTATTTATTTATCTATCTATCTATCTATTTATTTATTTATTTATTTAGGCTTTTAAATATAAAGAAAATAATGTCTTAAAACTTTCATCTGACTTTGTTTTTATGTAGCTATTTCAGAATCTTGGTTCAGCAGTTTGAGGTACAGCTTCAGCAGTACAGACAGCAGATTGAAGAACTAGAAAACCACCTTGCTACTCAAGCAAATAATTCACATATAGCTCCTCAAGGTAACACACATTCTATGGTGATTTTTTTGATAGCGCTGTGTATTCTTTTTGGTAGGAGAGGGTAAGCCATTGTTATATAGTAGATAGTCTAAGTAACTACTAGTAATTGTCTTAGCTGCCATAAGAAAATTTCCTTAAAAGTCTTTGTTTAGATCTTTATTGCCTGTGAATTTTAAATGTTTTTTTTATGAATTGTTGCTGTGCTAACAGAGGCAGAAATCTTAGGAACTCCTCCCGCTCCGAGATTCCTGATGTGGACATCCTTCTCTCAGTCTGCTCACTCTGCTGTCTTCTCTTATCTGTGGCAATAATGGTGTAGTGTTTTCCTCCTGCACATGAACTGCACCAGAAATTGGACTCAAACAATAGAAAATAGTGTTGATTGTGTTCATATATGTGCTTGTATAATAATATCATTTTCTCTTGTAGATTTGTCAATGGCTATGCAGAAAATTTATCAAACATTTGTAGCGTTAGCTGCACAGCTTCAGTCTATTCATGAAAATGTAAAGGTAAGTTTTTATTGTCAAGTAATCTCTCTGGATATCCAGACCCAAGTGAAGTATTTGTTCATTTGTAGGACAAAATAATTCATGTTTCTTACAGAAAGAGCTGAAATTACATAAAAGTGACAAAGAACAAATTATCTGTAATCATACCCAGACACAATTATGGATAATATTTATTCATTTTAAAAACATCCAAGTAACAGTACATGGCGAACAACTTTCTTTGATCATATACATTTATTCAACATCAGTTAATAGTTACGTAGCATTTATTACGTACATGTGCATAGTTTGACTCATCCTCTTGTTAGACATTTAGTTTGTTTCCATCTCTTTACTATTATAAACAGCACAATTGAATAAAAGCATTTTAGTAGCAAAATTATTTTGTACTGTTTTAATTTTATGTATATTTTAAATGTTTATAAGGCTCTGCATTAGAAACACTTGATTACATTTGTTCCTTCTAAGTACAGGCAACTATTCATGTTTATTAAAAAGTATAGATAAAATAACTTGTTACTGCATATGTTGAACCTTGTGTAATGTTAGTTTTTAAAACTTAAGTGAAATGTTAAATATAAGTGTACTTTTACTAAGTAATCAAGCAAATATAATTAAATTATTTCTTGGAGTTCTATATGATTGTAAAAAAACTTTACAACTTAAAGCATTCATATCTGAGTCTACATAATTACTGTGTAAAATAGAGATTATCAGTATTTGCATTTTTAATCGATGCATAGTAACAGATTTTTTTTATGTTAACCATTTAAATCATACCATTTTTGAAATGATAACACACTTTAGACCTTTTGCTTTTTAATAGATTTAAAATGCGAGCCCTGGCTGGTGTGGCTCAGTGGATTGAGTGCCAGCCTATAAATCAATGGGTTGCCAGGTTGATTCCCAGTCTAGGGCATATGCTTGGGTTGCAAGCCAGGTACCCAGTAGGGGGCGTGCAAGAGGCAACCACACATTGATGTTTCTTTCCCTCTTTTTCGCCCTCCTTTCCCCTCTCTAAGTATAAATAAATAAAATTCTAAACCAAATCTTCAAAATAATTTAGTTTTAAAGGAGTGGTTTTTATAAAATACTTACGTCTAGCCCTGGCCAGCATGGCTTAATTGGAGTATCGGCCCATATTGAAAACGTTGCAGGTTCAATTTCTAGTTGGGACACATACCTATGCTATGCATTCAATCCCAGGTTCAAGCACAAATGGGAAGCAACCAATCAGTGTTTGTCTCTTTCCCTTCCTCTCTCTGTTCTTCTCTAAAAGCAATGGGGAAAAAATTTATGTCTATAATAAATATTACTTAAGGTTTTTAAAGTGTTAAAAATGAGTATCAGTTGTCACTTTGTTTCTTTACTAATTTTAATATATTTTGTTCATTTGTTCCATTACATTTGTTCCATTTTTTCCCCTCCAAACTGCATGCTCCCCAACAGCATGTCCTGCCCTTAGTTCATGTCCATGGTTGTACATGTAAGTTCTTTGGCTTCTCTGTCTCTTCTAATATTCTTAACCTCCCCCTGTCTATTTCGTACCTACCAATTTTGCTTCTTATTCCCTCCACTTCTCCCCTCATTCTTTTCCCTCCCCCTCCCTGCTGATGACCTTCAATGTGATCTCTATTCCTGTGAATCTGTTCCTCTTCTAATTGGTTGCTTAGTTTTTGTTTGTCTCTTTAGGTTCAGTTGTTGATAGTTGTGAGTTTGCTGTCATTATCCTGGTCATATTTTTTATCTTCTTTTTCTTAGGTAGGTCCCTTTAACATTTCCTACAATAAGGGCTTGGCGATGATGAACTCCTTTGACTTGACCTTGTCTGGGAAGCACTTCATCTGCCCTTCCATTCTAAATGATAGCTTTGCTGGGTAGAGTCATCTTGGATTTAGGTCCTTGCCTTTCATGACTTGGAATACTTCTTTCCATCCCCTTGTTGCCTGCAAGGTTTCTTTTGAGAAATCAGCTGACAGTCTTATGGGCACTCCTTTGTAGGTAACTGTCTCCTTTTCTCTTGCTGCTTTTAAGATTCTCTCCTTATCTTTCACCTTGACTAATGCAATTATGATGCACCTTGGTGTGTGTTTCCTTGAGTCCAACCTTTCTGGGACTCTCTGAGCTTCCTGGACTTCCTGGAAGTCTATTTCCTCTGCCATATTAGGGATGGCAGAGAATCTCCTTCATTATGTTTTCAAACAAGTTTTCAATTTCTTGGTCTTCCTCTTCTCCTTCTGGCACCCCTGTGATTCGGATGTTGGAACACTTTAAAGTTGTCCTGGAGGTTCCTAAGCCTGTCTTCATTTTTTTGAATCCTTGTTTCTTCCTTCTGCTCCAAACTCTTGATTTGAGTCCCGGTTTCCTCCCCTTCACTGTTGTTTCCCTGTACCTTTTCCTTTATTTCACTTTTCATAGTCTTCAGTTTTTCCTCTATTTTGTGACCATTCTCAACCATTTCTGTGAGCATCCTGATTACCAGTATTTTGAACTCTGCCTCTGACAGGTTGACTACCCCTTTATTACTTAGTTGTATTTTTTGTGGAGCTTTGATCTGTTCTTTCATTTGGGCCGTATCTTTTTGTCTCGGCATGCCTGTTACGTAATATGGGGTAGAGCCTTAGGTGTTCTCCAGGGCGGGGCAACCCTGCCCTGTGTTGTGGTGCTGTATGTGGGGGAGTAGTCTGAGAGGGAACAATGCCCCTTGCTAGGCTCTTGGCTGGCATTCAGTCACTTCCCCCGCTACCCACAAGCAAATTGGGCCCTCCTGGTGCTTATTCCTGGGTGGGTGGGTGGGTGGGTGGGTGGGTTTGTGTATGTTCTAGGATGCTGTGTGTCTCTGCAATGAACTCTGCTGTGAGGCTGGGAATTTCTCCCATTGCCACAACCCCCACAGGTTTTTATAGCCACAGGTTTGGAGGCTTTATCTAGCCACAGTGGTACCCTGGGTTGCGTAGTCTCTCTCTCTCCCCAGTTGTTCCTACTGGCTTATCAGCACACAGATGTGGACTGCCAGCTGCCGCCACCAGCTGCCGCCTCGCCAGCCTGGGTCCTCCAGCCTTCGCTTTGTCACATATCCTCTCTACCTTGCTGCCTGTCTCCACCCTCCCCACTGGTCTGGATGAGTGTTTCTTCATTAACTACTTGATTATTGCACTTCCATACAGTTTGATTTTCTGGCAGTTCTGGTTGTATTTTGTTTTTAAATTTGTTGTTGTCCTTCTTTTGGTTGTGTGAGGAGGCCAAGTACATCTACCTGTGCCTCCATCTTGGCCGGGAGTCCTCCTCTGTTGTCACTTTGAAATCTGTGGTATTCAAGCATTCTTTTTCCTTAATTTATATTTGAAACTTTTCAAATATTCATAAAAGTAGAGTACTTTTATAATGAATGTCAAAGTACGTACCAACCAATTTCAGCAGATCTGTTTTTTTTTTTTTTTAAATTATTTACTTTTAGAGAGAGGGGAAGGGAAGGAGAAAGTGGAAGAGAAACATCAATGTGCGGTTGGCTCTCATGTGTCCTCTACTGGGGACCTGGCCTGCAACCCAGGCATGTGTCCTGACTGGGAATTGAACCAGCAACCCTTTGCTTCACAGGCCTGTGCTCAGTCCACTGAGCTGCACCAGTGAGGGCCAGATCTTATTTTATCAATTCTCCACACAGATACATTTTCCATTGTAGTATTTTAAACCAAATCCCAGATTTTTCATTTGTAAATATACACATATACTTTTTCAGTGTCAGGTTCTTCTCTCTGTATTGAAAACTCCTCTCTTATGACCATAAAACAATGAGACAAAAATTCAGACAAAATAGCCCCAGATCATACTGGATAAACTTTATGTGAAATTTTGACCTACTCTTTTTTTTTAAAATACATATCTCCAGGAACCAAAGGATTTTCCATGATCAGATTTACTATGTCGACATTTTTTTTCAGGTGCATTTAGATTTCCAGACTGATTCACTTTCCATAGAAATCTTGAGTTGTTTTTGTTTTCCTTTTGTAATATTTTCATGAGGTAATGTGTTAAAACAGCCTTAAACTACCTGATCCAGCCAGGGGCAACGATATTAACAGAATTGGACATTAATTGTGAATAACATTAATCATGATTAATGTTAGGGTGTTTTTTTCTTAAGGTAAATTACTTTTAAGATTTGATTTATTTATTATTAGAGAGAGGGGAAGGGAGGGAGAAAGAGAGGGAGAGAAATATGAATGTGTGATTGCCTTTCACATGGCCCCCACTGAGGACCTGGCCAGGCATGTTCCCTGACAGCAAATTGAACTGGTGACCCTTTGGTTTGCAGCCTGCACCTGATCCACTGAGCTACAGCAACCAGGGCTAGCATCAGGGTTTTTTTTAAGTAATTATCCTTTTCAAATTTCTAAGGCAGGTCATTATTTCAGAGTATTTGAAGTAGAACTGAAGTTTATGGGCTATTGATGATGGACTTGGAAGAGATCAGTTCTAAAAAAAATTTTTTTTTCTGATGCTACATATCCTCCTTCCAACTGCATTTTTCAAATTTTCAGTTCTTCACAGGCCCACTTCAGTACATATAGAGGTAGGAACGTTTGGAACTGGAACATCAAATACTGACATTCAACAAAAGGGGATGATAGCTTTTAAACACTATAGCAGTAAGATTTGTTCTCTACTTTTCACAATCAGAAAGCCTCAAATTTGTTAATTTCTGCTCATAACAGAAGGGAAATGTGAAAATTCTATGTCTCTTCAAAAAGTGGTTTGAAACTGGCCTGGTCATATGTCTTGTGTGGTTGGGGCCTTGTTTAGCACATCAAAAGGTGGATTTGGTCCCTGATTAGGGCATGTGCTGGAGGCAGCTGGTCCGTGTTTCACTCCCCTTCTCCCCCTTCCTTCCTCTTTCTCTAAAAGCAGTGGGGGGGGAGGGCTTTAAAACTAGTCTAAATTAAACTTCAATGAAGGTATTTAATAATCCTGATATGAAAATAATCATTTTTGTTAGTGGTCTTTAATCAAGACAGATTTTGCCTTGGGTAAACCAACTCAGTCATTCTTATTGCAGAGTAGTCAAAGAATATTGATACAGGAAAGGCTCTCTTATTACCACCCAAGCTCTCTCTGCTGAAGAACATCTTATTTTAATGTGTATCACTCAGGCTTGTCAAAAAATGTATTTAAAAATACATTTAGTGCTTTTTGGATCTAAAACTTATCAAAAGATTAGACATTGAAGGGGAGAATTTCATGAAAAACTAGAATATTTAATGTAGAATTTTAGATACTGCTCTGCTTATCTTAAAGCTTAGCTAATTTTCCCTGATCTGGTAACTCCGTTGGTTTGAGGAGTTAAGAATCGTCCTGATTGTGGGTTTGATTTCTGGTCGGGGCACAAGCCTGGGTTGCGGATTCGATCCCCATTTGGGGAGTGTGCAGGAGGTAAGAGATTGATGTTGCTCTCTCATTTCCCCTCTCTCTAAAATCTCTCTCTAAAATCAATAAACTATTATTGGGAGAGGATTAAAAAAAAAGAATTAAAGCTCAGTAAACTCATTTTAAAGAGGGCTTCACAAAGCTGGAGTATTTTTGGCAGTTTATTATGAAGACATGATAAAAATGGGGAAGAAAATGTTCAAAGGAGTGATAGGACTCTCAGATCATCACTTCCCATACTATGCATTACTAGCACTCTAAATTGGAATTTAGTTGGCATGCATAATATTGGCAATGTATTTGATCTGTCTTTGCTGACTTATTTCATATGTTCATTCACATATTCACAGAATTGGATTAACCTTTTTTGTTTATTATTTTTTTAAGGTGCTGAAGGAACAGTACCTTGGTTACAGAAAAATGTTCTTGGGAGATGCTGTAGATGTGTTTGAAGCCAGGCGAGCAGAAGCCAAGAAATGGCAGAATGCCCCCAGAGTTACTACTGGACCCACCCCTTTCAGCAACATTCCAAATGCAGCAGCCGTTGCCATGGCTGCAACTCTTACACAGCAGCAACAGCCTGCTACAGGTCTGAATGCATTCAAGTTATAGCTTCTTACTGTTAAAATGCAGAACATTTATGTGCATTTTTATGTCTTCCTCATGTTGTTAGCACTGAAGAAATTTCTATGAATAGCTATTCCAATACAATCTAAAAATTGTGATGGACACAATTATAAACATACCTGATAAAAAATGCAGGGTAGTCTTAGCAATAATTATATATCAATGGGATATTGAATATTGTGAATTTACTTAATGTTATTTGCTGTATTGCTATAAATGCCCTTTAGAGTATGGTGTTTCACTACTGAATTACATTTAATAGTAACAGATTCTAAAATTGTGATTGTTATCATTTGTTGTTTTAAAGTCAGATAATCCAGCCATACGTTGCATTTTTTTTATGTATGATACTGATAGATGGTGCATTATTTCCTCATACATAGTGATTACAGAACACTGACATTCAGGATGACGTATGTTTTTGTAGACTGAAGGTGTGTTGAAGATCAGTAGTTTTGTTTTTTATATATGTAATGACAAGAAAGAGTACAGGCCCCCTAAACCAAATTTGGAAGAAAATACACGGTAGACTTATTGATACCTTTTCAGAATAGAGCAGTAGCAAGAACAGGAAAAGATTTTAAGAGCATTGAATATTAAGAAGAATGATGTGGAAAGTTGAGCAGATGAAAGTCATTGGTGAGATACTGGAAAGCAGATAATTTTAGTCCTTGATTTGATTCCACTTCTCATGAGAGAAACATATTTGTGGTGAGTTCTGCATTGTTTAGTTTGGTCTTGTGTCTTTCAGAGGTTACTACTTGTCTTTTACTCCTGCAGTTCCTGTTTTGACAGGTTAAAAGCTTGACATAGAAAAATAAATCTTAATGGATATTGATTTTATTTTATTCATTTATACATTTTGAATAATGCTTACTGTTCTACCACGTGTCCTTTTGAGAGTTTCATGTAGTACAGTAGTACATTATAGTATAAAAAATGTTTTAAAAAAAACAGAGAGAGACATATTAGATTGCATTCAGGCTGCCTCCACAAGGGAGCATTGTTTCTCTCTCTTGGTAGTGTGAAAAATTGTTCTTCACATTTGGAGATGACAGAATTGATTTCCCATCAGTAAATGGCTGCTGATGGATTTATGCCAAATCCTCCACATTCCAGGGCTGGGCTCATGTGAATAGTGGCTCACATAAGCACTGTATAGTAATCCTCTGGCTGGCTGGAGCATAGGATTTTGTTCTCAAGTCATAGAGAAAAAAAAAAGTAATTTTGAAGTTGAATCTGTATCAATCCCATAATTATGGTCCTCAGTTTTCATGATTAATTAACCAGTTAATCAGACTAACCATAGTACCATTTTACTTTTTAAGGCTAATATCAATCATAAAATAAATCACATGAGCATGCATTTGGTTAAGTGTTCCTCCCACATAAGAGGTTTTCATTCTAAGAGGGGTTTATAGGTTTTCACTCATACATTTTGGACTCACGGACATATGAAGGTACCTGTTCATTCTAGAAATATGAGTGCCTACTATGTGTTAGGTTCTGAGGATACAAAGGTATGGTCTTTGGTGATGGAGAAGAATACAGCTTAATTTAAAGTAATCAAGTCGAGGAGCCTTTTTCTCATGTGCTTTAATTTTGTCTGACTCTTGTCAGGTTTTGGGGAAACTGACTGCTTTCTCTGTTTTTTGCAGTTTTGTAACCCACATAAGAATTTTCTAATGGGGTGGCAGGAGTTGTAATTTATCAACTCTAAACTGTCTTACAATGTTTTCATTTTGAGTTGTATGAATTTTTAGAACTGAGAAGCTAAAGAATCATAATAACAGTTTTGCATTATGCCTTCTCTTTTTTCCTTTTTTTTTAAGATGTCCAACTCTCCACAGTCCATTCTCTTATGCCTGTCCCCGATAAGATGTTAGTTATTATAGTCATGTCACTACGATAGCAAGATTTATGCTATATACTGATTTTATGAATTGACACCCTGTTTAGAAACATCTCTATTGATTGCATCATGCAGTGACTTACTCCTTATGTCCTGCAGATTTGATGAAATCTTTTTAAATACCAGTAACAGATTTTAAAGACCATGGAGATGAAGCTAGGTAAAGCTTGTGTGCTATTTTTATATATCACTGTTGATCTGTGCAAAATTTGAGTCGTTAGGCATTCTGCTTTTATTTGCATATGGATTCTTGACTTCACTAATATAAAAAAGGAGATAGCTTCTTAGGCTACACTACCTTCTGAAGGTGGTTTCTGTGTAGTCTTTCTTGGAGGTGTAGGTATGCACTTAAGTGACTTCTTGATCATTCTTCTATGTTTTTAATGAAGATATATAATAGAACTTAGGCTTGCATGATTTATGAGTATTGCTTCTGAAGGCTGAAGAGAATTGGTAAAAAACCAGTAGGCTATTTATGTATGAAATAAGCATCAATACATGGATAAATTACACTTTGATACAACTTGAGTCCACATACCAGTGCTTCAGAAGCCTCTTAAAAAGCCTAAGAAATACAGTAGGCTTTTTTTTTTTTTTCAGTATAATTTTAATTTAGGGTAGATTGTTTTAAGCTGAGGTACTGGGATTAAGTTTTGCTGTTGTGTTTTGACACTTTTAAAAGTTCTTGATGTTTACATAATAAGACTTTTCTCATGTGACTTAGCTGCTATTTTTAAGGAGAGCTGAGAAATTTTGTTAGGAATTCCTACTTTCCAGCGTTTAGTGCAGGTTTGGACATTGAAGGTGTAGTGTTCAATAGGAAACTTTAAGTATTTCTCTTCAGTTTCTTGTGGTTTTGTGATTTCATTGTATTTAATAACCAAAGGAACATTCCCCACTAAATCAGTAAGTACAATTTTTAAAATTGGGGTAAAGGCATTTTTTTAAGAAATATTACGATTTTTAAAATATGACTTAGGGATAACCAGACTAATTATATTAGGCATTTTGAGTGGTCATTGAAAATTATAATATATTTTAGCACTTTAGTCCTTTCCCTGTGAATGCAATTTTGCTTTTAAAAAGGTAGACTTTATTCTGGAAATATGAATTAACAGTATTAAACTTGATTTTGTTGTTTGTTAATATATTATATGGTAACTTTTGTAAAATGTTACTCTACATGAAGATTTCACTTTGGGCAGTCATTGGGATATATTATTACTAACTTGGTTTTATTTATGGAACTAAGAGCCTCTTGTTGAATGACTATTAAGATTTTGAAATAGACTTCTTGAATTGTTTACGTAAATTTACCTGAAGGATTTAGATTCTGCTTTCTAATAGTGGAACTAATTTATATGGTAGCCAGAGTGTAATATATATGCTAATACTTTGGCATGGGAGATATTTATCATGAGTCTTTACTATTAAAAATGTTATGCATTTACCTACTAGTTTTATAAATGATGTTGCCTTCAGAATTTGCTTGAAGGTACAAAACTCAAAATGTCATGTACCTGTTGTGCAATGGAAAGTCTTGTCATCGTTAGAGTTCCTCATTACCTATATCCTGAATATCGATGATTAGAGTTGCTCTTAAAAATAGAGCCACACTCAACAAAAAGCATGTTATTTGAGTAACTCTTATGACTTTTAGGGCTGAGGGCTGTGGTGTGCATTGTTCTTTAGGGTCTTCCACCACCAGTGCCTCCTGGTAACATGTGACACTTAAGTCCCTCTGTTAAAGAAACTGGACATGTGTTTTCTACATATTATTTTTGTTAGAAATAAGAAAGTAATATGCTTAGTTTCTTTTTCTTATAGTAACATTTTACAAAAGATCTGCTTGGCAGATATTTTATTCTCAAATTGATCTCAAACTAGATGTAAAAATTTAAATCCTTTTTTAATTTATTTTTAATAATAGTATAAGAATTCTGGCTGCTATTAGTTCTTATTCTTTATTTTCTGGGTGTAAGCTATTTGAAAAGTCCAGTTTTTGTCCCAGTGTAGAAAAATGTAGTTTTTCAGTTTTGGGTTTTTTTTTTTTTAATGCTTTATAATTTACACTACCTTTGGAATATACAAACCTCATTCATTGAACAACTTGAAGGCTTTGAATTCTTTGAAAAGTTTAAATTTCAGTCTGTATATTACTTTGGCAGATCCCTCAACTTTGAGATGCACTGATCACTGTGCTTGAAAGACAAGACTGAAGATTGTACTATGAAATTTATTGGATAGTTTTCATAAATTATTTATCAAATGAGATTTTTAGATTTTTGTAGTCTGCTTCGTTGAGAAAAAAATGTAGTAAAAATGAGAGGCAAGTTTGATGTTATTTTTGCCAAACAAACTCAGCCAAAATCTTTCAAGTAACAAGTGGGAAAAGGATGACTAATTGTTCTGCATCTGAATAAATTTTCCAAAATGTTGGAAAGAAGTTTCTGAATTGAAATCTTGAATGTATTGAATCTGTCAAGGTACACAGCGGTGCCTTTGTAAATGTTCATTAGCTATCTTATTTAATCAGGTGATAAGTGGTGTAATGTTGCAGAGCTTAACAATAGAACTCAGTTACCACTTTTTGTGAACAAGTTGGAATTGTCATGTTACTGTGTAATTGATTTGCTTTAAAATGAACAATAAATTTAATAAAATAAAACATTGTCTTGTTTTTTATCTATTTATTGTATATATATCATTTATATTTTATATCAGAAATCATGCCTAGTTTTTTGGGTATTCTTATGAAGTAACATGATAGTTTTGCCATGTTAGTGTCAGTCTCTTTTGCTCAATTGAGACTTGACTCTAACAGTAAGGAGCTTGTTTTAAAAAGAAAAGTAAAAACCTTTACCGATTACACCAACTAATTTTATCAGAAAAAACAAGTGGGGAGATCTAAGATCATTCTGGAAATAAAACTAAAAGAACTATAATTTGCAATACATTAAAGATTTCAAATTATTTAGCAGGTTAAGCTAACATTCATCTTTCAGTGCAGTGGGCCTTTTTGAATTGTCTAGTGTGAACAAGTTAAAATATTGGGGAGGGTAGGTAAAATCAATTGGGACAGATATAAATTAGGCTGGGGAGACATCCTGAAAACTAGTTTTAGCAAAAAGAATTTGTTTAAAGTAATTACTGTTCATTAAAAAAACAATTTTTAAACGTTAATCTTGAAAGAGTAAGGCAAATTTGTTTTTCCCCCTCCCACTTTTTTTTTTATACCAGGGCCACAGCCATCTCTGGGAGTTAGTTTTGGAACGCCATTCGGCTCAGGTATTGGCACTGGCTTGCAATCAAGTGGCTTAGGTTCTTCAAACCTTGGAGGTACACTTTAACTTTTCTAATAATTGCATTGGACTATTATACATTTGAATTGATAATAGCCTGTAAAAATTTCCTGAGAGGATCTACTGTTTTGGAAGTTAAGTTTCCATCTGGCAAAACCAATTTTCCAAACATAATCAGTGCTTTATAGTATTAGATTTAGAACCTAAAAAAGTGATTTCATCTGTGAACAGTAAATATTAAAAAGTATGAAATTAAGTGGTAGGGATGTTCTATATTCAATATGCTAAAATTTGAACTTGAAAATTATTTTAATAAATTTAACTAACTTTAGAAAAATTGGTAGTCTTAATATCAGTTTGGAGTCCAAAATTAGTAGTCTTAATATCAGTTCTGGATATACATTCTCCTAATCGTTACCTTCTTTTTCTGAAAACGAACACTTTAAATGGGGAAATAACTATTATAAGTTGAACAGTTCAACTTCTGTTTATTCCTAAGTACTTTTGTCATATTTGCTTATGCATATTTGCATATATAAGCAATTAAATTTATTTTAATAGTTTCATAAGTTAACTCTAATTAGTAAGGTAAGTCTGCAAAAACATGCTAAATACAAATGCATTCATAATTGTCTGATGTGGATGATTAAAAATTAATTGTGTTTTATGGAGCACATTGTCATAATGAATAAGGTTTCATTATTTTCACTAAAATATATCATCAAAAAAGGGGAAGTTGATAAGCTTTTATAGTTACTTAATATAGTAGGCCCTATTAGGAATTACTAGAATTATGACAGTATAATTCTTGTGATCTGTAATTCGATTTGCTGTCATATTTCTTAAGAGTTAGAGGCAATAAGACTGTCAGATTCAATATTGTAGATAAAGCTGTTGTGAAGTAACCTAAGAGGAACTTGAATCTAATTTTTAAACACTTGATGTTTAGAAGAGTGAAACAACTCTTCAAGTACCTTAGCAAAGTCTCCTCTTGAACTTTATATGATGAAAAATATTTTTTATTTAAATTGTGTATTAAGAGAGAAAACATAATGCTCCTACTCCCAATTTCTCATTGTTCTGTTGGGTGATGCTATGGCAACAGCAAACTACAGGGTGGGACAAAAGTAGGCTTTATAGTTGTTAGCATGCAAACACACAGCTCGTTCTCGATTTGTATTTAATGATTGTATTATTTTCCATAGTAACAAATGTAAACCTACTTTTGCCCACCCTGTATTACTGAGTAGATTGACTAGTACATAGTTTTGCAGATGTTCATTGCTAAAGGTTCTTAAGTGAACATATTGGCGTAAAAAGAGTAAAATCACCTTAAATGTGGAGAAATGCAGTTCTCCGCATTTAAATTATTGTGCAGTTCTCCGCATTTAAATTATTTTGCATGTCATGCTTATTATGAATTTAGACTTCTTTTCTTCAAAATGAAATATCCCGAAGTAGCTATGTTTCTTTCTATCTGACTAAAATTATACTTTGAATGGTCACTAAAATGGTCACTTTGAATGGTTCATGTGTAAGAGAAAATACTAAATGATCTTGTTTTTTATGGCCTTATTCTTTAAAAGTTACTGATGGGTCATAAATTTAATCTAAATACATATGAATGTTTCATATCAGAATTTATCTTGTTCTTTTAGAAGTCTTATGCAAAGGAATAAACAGATTTTCTTCATAAAACCATGTTTCTCAACACTGTATTTTTTAGATCTTTGGTAATTTGGGGTTTTGCTTGTCAGTATCCTTTAACCTGTGTTTTACATGCCATTGTATATTTCTCTATTGCCCTTCCACTAGGATTTGGAACTAGCTCTGGTTTTGGATGCAGCACCACAGGGGCCTCCACATTTGGATTTGGAACAACAAATAAACCCTCAGGAAGTCTTAGTGCAGGTTTGTGTGTTTCAGCCTGAATTTTAGACAAACTTAAAGGTGCAAAGTATTTAATTTAAAAGTATAAGTATTGTTATATCCATATCCAGAGAAGATCCGTGATTTAGTTTCTAACCCAAGGATGAAGAACATACCATTATCTCATAAACCAAATGTCAGTTTTGTAAAATATTTCTTACAACACTTACTAGTTTGATAAAATAATTATATCCCCTATTAACTAAGCAGAGATTCCTTTGAACCCCAAAACTAGCTTCATTGTTAAATAATTTTCTTCATTAATATAAAAATGAACCCATTGTGCTTAAGTTTTAACTCAGTTTTTATCATGCATTCAGGAGAATGATTTCTCTTCCAAAGAGCTGTTCTTTAGTTATCCCATCTTACAGTTGAGCTCTTTGTTAGTTTTTGAAATAATCTTTTGACTCTTCTAGTAGAAAATTTCAAATTCCATTACTTTTGCATTTTCTCTATAGTTGTAAATAATGACTGTTTAAAATGTGTAATGCTTAGGGATAAGAAGTATGTCTAAAATAATGATGTAGTACCAATTAAATTGTGTTAATTGAGGGGATTTGAAGGAAATTCTGTTTAATATTAAATAATATTTAAAATCAACAGTTCCAATAGAGTAAGATAGTAGAATTTCAGTGGTATCAGAATTATAATATAAAATGTTAATGTTAACTAGGCAGTAATATTACTTAATCTTAGTTATACAAGAGCTCTTATTACAAAATTAAAACAGTAGGTACTACTCTTCAGTGTATTCCTTGTCCTCAGATTGTGGGTTGTGGTTTTCTTGGAGAACTTAAAACTGCAAAGTTGCGAGAGTCTTTGACATGTTGTTGAAATGTTTCTGGATAGGCTGAGGAGGAAGGCACCTTTGCCTGCTGAATTCCCAGCAAAGTGCCTGGCAACTGAAATCTTAGAGAGGTTTCAGTTATTTGTGCTAAAGTCTCTGTTTTGGCCTGGATCACTAAACTTCTGTCTCTAATGGCGCCACTAAGTTGTTTGCTAAATTATTTTCCTATAAAATTGCATGTGAGGAATTTAGGGCCATAAGATACTTAACTATTTTTATAGATTACATATTCTTGTAGCTAGAAATTTACCTCTCATCCCCATTTTTTATATTTGTTTTTGTGACTTCTGATACGAATATTCTTTTCCTTAAACATAAGGCTTTGGCAGCTCAAGTACATCTGGGTTTAACTTCAGCAATCCTGGCATCACGGCATCAGCTGGTTTGACATTTGGGGTGTCCAATCCTGCCTCTGCAGGCTTTGGAACAGGAGGACAGCTCCTTCAGTTGAAGAAACCTCCAGCTGGAAACAAAAGAGGAAAAAGATGAACATATAGGTTGATGTGTTGAGAGAATCCATTGCAGCATTGTTTATTCTGAGTCTATTTTTCTAAAATTGATGCAGTAGTTAAATTGCATCCCAGGAGATTTCTAAAGTTTTGATATTTTTCCCTACTTGGGAATTTGAACTTTGTTCTAATTTGCCATGCTAAACATCTTTTTTCTTGTGAATTTGAACCCCAGTTGTATACTTTTCTTTATTTCAATTCTCAATGTAAGAAATGTTCTGATCACATTGCTGGTTGGTAAAACCTACTATTTAACCTAGTGTTAATAGCAACATTTTTGTTGATACAGTTTACATTATTTGAATATATGCACATGTGTTTCTTATACAGATGATATGAACTCTAGGGCCTATATTAGAATCGGTTGGTTTCTTGATAAAGGTCTTTTGAACTACACTGCAGGGCATCTTGTGAATATGTATATAAACATATACAGGATAATACACACAATTGTGTGTGCATATAAAATATATATTTACAGACCTACAACTTTTGCCTCACACTGTTTCCCTTTTCTAAGGGTCTTCCCTTTTTCACCCTTGCAGCTTCAAGTCCTCAGTGCTTGTAGAATGATGAGCTAGAGGTACCAGGTTATTGCAGTTATGTGCTTGAAGACTTAGTGAAATGGTTCCCGTTGTAAATATTTGACCTACTCAACTGTGTTGCCCCTAGTCTTCTTCATTTTTGTTTTTCACCTTCACCTTTAACAGCTGCTGTAAGTGAGAAATGCTGTAAAACTTGTTGACCAGTTTTTAACAAAGCTTACTATCCTTCATGTCCTCATATTGATTGCTTATATGAGATGTTTTTTCATATCTGAGATGAACCTTCAAGAACATATTTGAACTCCAGACTGGTGTTCTGGGGGCAAAGAGCTTTAAGCCAAATTGATTCTATGCAGGTGAAGGATGCACTATGACTTTGGCGGAAACTTTTCTAGCTATTCCAATACAGAGTTTTTTCTTTATAGGGCTATTGATACACCAAATGGAGTGGCTCATCAGCCTCTTAATGTCTTAAGTGCTTAATTTGGAATAGAGAGACAATATATTTTAAGACAAAAAAAGTATTTGTAGCAACTATAAACTATTCCCTGTTTTAACAGAGTTCCAGTAGTAACACATAGGCGTGTCAGGTTGCCCCTGTGTAATATTTGTATTAGTACCAGTGACGTGGAGTGGGTGAAAAAGAGAGCCCTTTGAAAGAGAACTGCCTTAGCCATGATTTCAAACAGAAACCATTAGGTAGGTGTATGTATCTTTCAAGTACAGTTTTCAGATGGGATGTGAACATGGAATTTCATTGAAAATAGTTTAATTTTTTTATGTAGAAGCTTTTGTACATAACGTGCATCAAGTGAATGTTTTCAGAAGCGTTTCACCAAGACACCTTTTTCCTAAAATAGGTATTGCATAAATACATGTGCTTGTGCACACACACATGCACCATCAGTGTGTGAGGTTCGGTTATAAAGGTATTGTTGAATCCATTTCATTTATCTGCTTATAGCAATGATTGGCTTTTGGAATTGAATTTTTCGCGCCTTGATGCATTAAAATACAGAAAATGCTTTGTTCTGAGCTCTAAAGCTGTTTTTATTTTTGCACACTTATCTAATACTACAGTTCCCAGAACCAGATTTTGGGGAAGGGTAGTAAAACCTGTGATTTTGTGTTTTGAATTACTGTCAGGATTAAATACACAGTTACAACAAACTTTTTTTTAAAGACATTGCATTGTATTGCAAAAATCTGAATATTTATATTTCTTGTTTTTTCTTTATATATTTTACATTTTAATATGTTGAACCACTGGAAATTTGTAACAGATCAATTTGTGATAGAACTTTAAATGTGTTGTCATTGTCGCCATTGTCTTCACTTTGTCCAGAGCCTATTATTAAGTAAACAATAAAATTTATTGTGTCAGTTGCTTTGAATCTTTATAGATGTTAGTAGTTCTTAATGTATAATTTTCTAATTATTACTCTTTTATTCTCTTTGGTTGGTTTTAGTGTTTTCACTGGTTTATACATCTTGCTTTAAAAAAATAAACTAAAGACTGAACACAAGACAGTAAGTTTGAGTAAAAAGTAAAATTCCCCCACAACTCCTAAGCCTTAATCCCAGTTTATTCCCCAGAGTATTCACTCTTAATGGTTTGGTTTATATTCTTTTAGAACCTTTTTAAAAACATGGCTTTTTTTTTTCAACATTATGTATATGAATGTTTACTCTAATTTTTCTTTTCTCTCATTTTCTCATATTTTCTCATGCTCTCTTAGATCCTCTTTCTTTTTAACAAATGGGTTAAAAGTATGTGACTTGCTTTTTTCCCCCTTTAATGATATATCATCGACATCTTTTTATGGCAGTCCCTGCGGATTTACTCTTTACCTACTGTTTTGTAGCATGAATGAACGGTGGTTTTTTTCCCACTAATACTTGTTGGTGGGCAGTTAGGTTCTTGCCAGTATTTCAGTATTATAGAAGAAGCTGCAGTGAAGAACCTTTTGCTTGGTTCTTTGTGCTTATGTTTAATGTTGCTTTGGGATTGATTCTAGAAGAGGAATTGCTGAAAGGGCACACAAATTGTATGTTTTAATGTCGGATTGCCTTCCAAAAATGCTATATAAATATACACTTCAGCAGTTTGTATGTGTACCCATTTCCCAGCAATCTCTAAATGTTGATATTATCAATCTTAGTAAGTACTCGTGAGGAGAGCTTTCTAATGTATAAACATTCTTCACTTGCATAAAGGGAATCATACTTCACTTTATTTGGGAAGGTGTTAAAAATGATTTATAGATCTCTGTAGATAATGGATGTTAGTATTTTTCTTGTGAGATAGGATGGACTCGAATCTGCTAGTTTCAGAACCCTGTCTTGATCCTGTAAGGTCTTGGTCTACTTACTTAACTTTCCTAGACCTCAGCTTTATCATCTGAAAAGGGGATAATAAAGATGGGTGGGTGATTGGGTTGCATAAGCCCCTGACACTTTGTAAGCAGTCACTGTTCCTGCTCTCATAACCTGCTTTTTTAGTTATGGAGGCTGGATGCTGTAGGGAAAGCCAGCCTACCTTATTATTTTATTCTGCGTCTATGTGGGTTGGGATGGGGAGGAGAAGAGGGCTATTCTAGGACACTTACTCTTTAAGATGAACTTAAATACCTTGTCAGGTTTGTGGGGTTTTTTTTCTCTTAAAATCCTGTTGGGATTTTGATTTGGTTTATAGAAATATGTTACCATCTGGGGAGAATTGACATCTAATATGTATAGCATGGTATATGCATTTATTGGGTCTTTTATTCTTTTAGCAAGGTTTTACAGTGTTTTTTAGGTTCTTGATTGTTTTTCCTAACCAGCATCTTAAGGGGAGTAATTCTGGCTACTTGAATTTTGGGAACTGTAAGAAGTTTAATGAGAAAGCCTTTTAAGGATGACTTACCTGACTCTTATAACCCAAAAGAGCACCCTGTGCTTAAAGTAAATGAGATTAGATTGACTTCTTGCTATACAGATGGATGAACCTCAACTGGCCCAAGTAAACCATGGAAATGGAGGCAAGAAACTTAAGCTGTTACCAGATGGCAGCAGATAGAAGAATAGGGATTACTGGAAAAACTGGTCATGGCCTGGAAGGTTTTTGCTGTTCCTCCTCAATCTAAGGCACTTTTTCCTCTTTTATGCAATCTCTTAATAATAATAATTAAGAATAAAAACCTACAAGGTTACAGTACTGAAAAGTGAACTGTAGATTTAACTGGCAGAGAACTTATTTTGTCATCCCCACCCTCTTTGAATCCCAAAGTAGCAAGCTAGTTTAATTCGGTGAACATTTATTAATGTTTGCAGCATGCAAGTCACTCATGGGAGCACAGGAGGAAATAAACGTGGGTAGCTAACAGTAAGAACTAAGGAGAGGCCAGGGCCTTCGATACTAATTCCTTTTATACAAATGAAAAAAGGCATGGAGAAGTTACATAATTTTTTTTGTTCTGAGTTTTTATTTGTTGGGAAGTTTTCCCAAATATATTTTAGTGATTATGCTATTACAGTCCCATTTTTCTCTCCCCTTTATCCCCTTCCACCTTGCAATCCCCATACCAGGAGCATTCCCCACTTCCCTTCCTCTAGTTCATGTCCATGGGTTGTACATAGAAGTTCTTTGGCTTTTTCATTTCCAATACTATTCTTAACCTCCACCTGTCTAGTTTGTACCTGCCATTTATGCTTCTTATTCCTTGTACCTTTTTCCCCATTCTTCCCCCTACCTTTTACTACTTGTAACCCTCCATGTGATCGCCATTTCTATGATTATGTTTCTGTTCTAGTTGTTTGCTTAGGGTTTTTTGTTGTTGTGGTTGTTTGTTTTTAGGTTCAGTTGTTGACAGTTGTGAGTTTTTTGTCATTTTACTGTTCATAGTTTTGATCTTTTTCTTAGTTAACATTTCATATAAAGACTAGGTGATAATGAACTCTTTTAACTTGACCTTATCTGGGAAGCACTTGATCTGCCCTTCCATTCTAAATGATAGCTTTGCTGGGTAGAGTCATCTTGGATGTAGGTCCTTGCCTTTCATGACTTGGAATACTTCTTTCCAGCCCCTTGTTGCCTGCAAGGTTTCTTTTGAGAAATCAGCTGACAGTGTTATGGGCACTCCTTTGTGTAGGTTACTGTCTCCTTTCCTCTTGATGCTTTTAACATTTTTTCCTTTAATCTTTGGCAATATAATTATGATGTGCCTTGGTGTGTTCCTCCTTGGGTGCAACTTCTTTGGGACTTTCTGAGCTTCCTGGACTTGCATGTCTATTTCCTCCATCAGATTGGGGAAGTTGTTCAAATACGTTTTCAATTTCTCGTTCTTTCTCCTCTCTTCCTGGCACCCCTATGATTCAGATGTGGGTATGTTTAAAGTTGCCCCAGAGGTTCCTAAGCCTCATTTTTTAAAAAATAATTCTTGTTTCTTCATTCTGTTCTGTTTGAATGTTTATGTCTACCTTCTGATCCAAATCATTGACTTGAGTGCCAGGTTCCTTCATTGTTTATTCCCTGTATATTTTTCTTTATTTCTCTTTGTGTAGCATTCATTTTTTTCTTTATTTTGTGGCCATACTCAGTCATTTCTGTGAGTATCTTTATTACCAGTATTTTGAACTCCGTGTCTGATACATTGGCTATCTGGTCACTAAACTAGCAAGTGGATGGGCAAGAATTCAAACCCAGGCAATCTTCCTAAAGTCTAGGCTTTTGACTTTGTCTGCAAATTATTGGATTGGCCAAAATGTCCATTCAGTTTTTTTCCTAAAAGATATTTTTTTCCTTTTCTGCAATAACTTTATTGATTTGGATATTTTGAATATGACAACTATTCCCCACTACTGGCTTCTAGTGGATATAAGTCCGGTGTCCTGCTGAACATCTCCCAATGCATAAGATAGCCCCACAGCAAGGAATTATTTGTCCAAAATAACAATAGCACCAAGAAACTTTACAGACCACTTTTGATGTGTTCCATCAGTCACAGCATCTTCTCCATACACTACATATTTTTGTGTGTGTGTTTTATTTGCATTTTTACATTTCTTTAAAATAATAAAGCACGAAAAGCCAAAAATGTTGCATGTTTTCTTCCATCTTCAATACTAAAATGGCTACACAAAAATTCACCTATTTTGATAATTTTTTAAAGGCATCCTGGTATGACAGCTGTCACAATATAATCTAACAAAACCATTTGGAATGAAGTTTAAGGTAACTAAGCACTACTAGAGCCTCACATGGGAAAAACTGAAAGCACTTTCTGGCCAACTCAGTGATAGAAGGCGGGGTTTCCTGTTGAGTGAGAGCATAAAGATACAAAGAAAATCCTTGAGAATGCAGAAGAATAGATGGGCTTTGAGCAATGAGTATGGATAGGATTTGTTTTTATTAGTATTTACAAATCGAATTTACAGAACCACATGTTTAATGAACAATAATCCTGAGTTTGAGCGACATAAAGTGATAAAATTAAAAGTAACTACTACACCCAGTCTCCAGAGGAAATTTCTTAAGTTTCTTTATCTTGATTCATACTATATTTCTTCATTAGTTTTAATAGCTGTGTAGTATATAGTAGGCCCACATTCTATTTAACTAGTTCCTTTTGGTGAATACTAGATACTTTCTATTTTTTTGCTATTAGGAATAAATTTTGTAGGACAGGTGAAAAGGGTGTACAGTTTTATGGACATGTCTCTGCTTAGGGAGTTTGAACATTTTCATGTAAGTATTGGCCATCTTTTTCGAGCAGTTAATTGTATGCCTCTGTTTCTGATCTTTTGTATTTGTTGTATAGAAATTTAATTTTTTTATGTATTAGTCTTTTTTAATGACTTCTGGGAGTGAGTGGGAACTCAATGGGAGTAAAAAAGAGAATTCCATTTTACAGTTTATGAGGCCTTTTTTATTTATTACATCACTAAAACTTCATGCCCTGGTCTGAGTAGTTCAGTTGGTTAGAACTTTGTCCTGATACGCCAAGGATGTGGGTTCAATCCCTCATCAGGACACATAGAATAATCAACCAATGAATGCGTAAATAAGTTGAACAACAAATTGATGTCTCTCTCTGTCCCTCTTTCTCTAAAAATCAGTAAAAAAGTGTGAAACTTTGTGATTGTTTGAAGATGTCTCTAAAAGATTCAGCTGGGTGGCAAGAGTCTGATTGTAATTAGTGGTAATTGTAACTAGAACGGAAACAATTACACATACCACTTTCCCAAGTGCATTTGTAATGGAGTGAAGTGCCCTGGGTCTGAGTCCATCTTGTTCAAGCCTTATTCCCATGGCCTTCTGGTTAGTAGCTTCTGGTTAGTCCTGCCTACAGACATGTTAATCATTGGAGGAATGCTGCTTGCTGCTTGAGTTTTACAGAAACAACCCTGCCCATTTTCC